CGCCCGTTTTACATGAAGTGGGGCATGCTTGTTTACACATTCCAGGAATAGTTGTTTCCATGCAGCCCACATTAAATTAGGATCAGAATAGCTTTCGATGCTACTCCAATCCTGTTGACCTATATCGTTACGAAAGTGATCAGAGTTAAAATTCTTAAATTTCCTATATCTCAGGGTAGTATGCTTATTCGTTGTCGATTCAATAGAAACTTTACGAAAAACGTAAACTAAACTGTGATCGCTGATGCCTATATGTGAGACCCCTGAGCAGACGACCCTATCTGGAGTATTTGTAAAAATTAGATCAATTAAAGTACGTGATTTGTCGGTAATTCTAGTATGTTCAGTTATTAACTGGTCAAGGCCGTAAACATCAGCAATATTAGATAAGATATTTGTACTTTTGTCAAACTTAGGTGCGGCCATATTACAATTCAGATCTCCTAAGACGTAATATTCGATATTTTCTGAGTCTAGTTTTCCAATAAGTTCTTCAAATGGTCTAAAAAGATCAATTGAAGAATCAGGGGGTCTATACCAGGTCATAACGGCAAAAGGCCTTGATCTGGGCTTCTTGATTTCGACAGTCAGACTTTCTATTTGTTCACATATTAGATCAGAGCGAACAGAATAATTGATTTCGGAACGAATAAAAAACAAACACCCCTCCAGACCTACCGTTAGTAGAGCGATCTCTACGAATAGATTCATAGCCAGAAATATGAATTTCATTATCGCCTATTGTGTCATCCAATTTAGTTTCATTTATGGCTAAGATATCGATAGGTCTGTCGGAAAGCAAAATTCTTAGTTCATCAATGTGTACAGAAAGACTATTGATATTTAGCGAGGCCAATTTAAAGCCTCGTTTAGGCGGGAGAAATTGGTGAGAAACGATTGATTTCCAAGGTCACGATTACGCTCTGAATTGAACAGGCGCTCTGAATTGAACAGACGGCCAGTAGGTCAATTACATTCATGTAATTTATTCGCGAAGTTGTTATACATTTTGGCAATACCTGTCTCCCCAAGATGAAGTCCTCCTCTATTTAAGTCCGTTGAGTGAATGTCATCGTGGAGTATGAAGTGCCACTGTCGCTGATTGCAGAATTTTCGAAGCCTTTTGTTGACTGCATCAACATCGCCGCTATCTGAGAGGTCCGATCTTGTGACCAGCTCTGATATTATTACTTGTGCGTCCGTGGAGCTTTCAATTTCCCTCGCTAGGTCAACGATGTTATCGGCGATTTCGCTTGGGGATAGTTTTCCAAGGTCGTTAGTACCAGCATGTAAAATGATCTGGTCCGGCTTCTTGTCCAGTGTTGGTTTCACATAATGTGACATATCACTTGTTGTAGCTCCCGCGAAGGACTTTACAACAACCCGGTGGCCGACTTCTTTCCCTAATTGCCACCCTTGTATGTTTCTGATGATTGAGTCGCCAATAATGACGGTGGTCGGCGAGGATCTTTCTTGGTTGTGGTTAAGAGTATTAGAGCTGTTGTGAGAACTCTTGTTTGGCGGCTTTTCTTGCTCGATTTGCTTTGGTGATTCTTCGTTGTTTTGGAAGATTGAGATTTAGATGATCCATTGTTTTGCTTTGTGTCCGCCTTTGTATCCGACCATTTTGTATCCGACACCTTAGGATCAACCGAAGGCGACTCATTAAAAGCTTCCTTGCTGTCAAGGCGAAAGTTATATAGCTCCTTGCTTAGCAATGATACTACCATCTGCAGGGAATCTCGCTCCTCTTTTGTTTTATCTAGATTTCCCTTCATTAGCTGAAGTTGCTCTCGCAGAGCGCGATTTTCTTCCTGTATCCGTTGTTGATTTTGACATGATTTACAGGTTGACTGTATTTCTCTACTGTCCGTTAATCGAGATCTATACAAGTCTTTGAGTTTGTTTACCTCATTTTCCAAGCGGTCGTATAGATCTTTAAGGGACTTGTAGCCATTGCATGTGTGACTCTGTTGTTCTGGGCTGCTGCTAGTGTCGTCCAGGTTTATAACAGCCGATGGCCGAGGTGACGGTTGGTTGACATTGTGGCGGGGAATTTGAATTTCACCAGATCCTGACAAAATCGACTCCTTGAGTCTTTTAACCAGCTCAGTTTTCCTGCCAGATTTAGAGAGCTTTCTTTTTTCAAGTTCGTCCCTTAGATCTTTCACCTTCAGGGAGTTGACGGACCGTCCATTTAATGCATTCTTGATAGCAGCCATTTCGCTCATTTCAAAGGACGAAGAAAGCGAACCGTATTCGGGTACAGAAGTAGACATATTCTTGTTATTAATCTGATCAGCGACTACCAGAGTTGAGTCAGTATATACTTTACTCAAATCAGGCAAGGAACTGGTCTTAACAAGCCGCGGTCTGGAGATAAAGCGATCAGCCTTCGGAGCTAGGAAAACGTGTCCATCCGCCATATTATGCAAATTCCCGTCAAAGTCAAATCGACTGAGCAAATTTGTTCGATTCAACAAAAAATTAAAACAAGTACTGTACGACTTAATCTCGTGATTATTCACAAAATAATGGAGAATAACTTTGGTAACTGGACCATGGAAAGTGTTTCCAGAAAGCCTAAATAAGTTTCATATAAGAAAGAGCATCAGCAACTATAATTGCACTCCTTGCGGCATGCACATGTTTTGTTAATTGATAGTTAAATTATTGATCAACATTTGATTTTGTAATTATTCGCGTACTTGACATATCGATGGCGTAATCGCTGAGTAAGTTGATCTCTATTTAAAAGGAATGATACGTTCTTATTAAAAGTGTTCGAAACTAGTGTCTTTCTGCTCGATCTGTTGACCTGTTACCTATACTGGAATAATTTTTATTAGATATCACTACAGAAGTAAGTAATTTGTTTCGTAACATGTTGAATTTTAAGAATTGTGATTTCATTTTTCCCGCAAGCAATTTCAAGAATCGCTCGCTATTAGAATCTAATGAATCATGTATTATTTCTCATAGATCGAATAAATTAAAGATAATACGATTTCATGTCCAGTCTTTACTTCCGAGAACCAGGTTTCCCTGGACCAGTTCACTTAACTAAAAATACTTGAAAATAAATAATTGAATGTTTGTAGCTCCTTATATACGAATCTTAAATATTCTCTTTAAAACGGTGCTGACAGACTTCGTAAAATGTCTATGGGTAAAGCATTTCATAGCCTAAAAGCAGTTTACTGATTATCATTTCATGAATGCAACTAATGTCAGCACATCTGGACTGTACCACTTTCTATCAAAGATAATAATTAGCTGATACCTTGTGTTCTCTTTGAATCAGTTTTGGTAGCATTTGATCAAGAAGCATCATCTTGCCTGAACTTGTAACCAACTCCTCGTCAACTTTGCGTAGTAATGTTCCCTCCTCCAGAGGACACTCAATCAGGTATGGATGGTTACAGCATTTCCGTAGTAGAGTTAGGATGCTGTTCATACTGACTGACACAACCGTACTTGGTGAGCTGGTGCTAGCCACAGCTTTCCTGTCATAAAATACCAGTGTTCAAACTAGCGGTTCATGATTCGGTACTGATTTATTTCACCTTTAAAGTTTTGTAACAAATTACATGCAATATTAGATTCAGCTAGAAAGTACTGGATAAGGTAGGAGATCTAGCAAGCTCTACTGAGGTTTTAAAAAGATGCCCCCATAATAGTTTTTTCTATTTAATTAATACAGAAGGCATACCTAGTTCCACATCAATAGTAACAGGGACTGGTAAACTAAATAGATATTCAGAGTCCTAACTACAATAATAGCTATTATAAATATCCTTGTGTACATTACTTGGAAGGTTTCAATATATAATTTTAGCAACTTCTTAAACAAATGAAATGATTTTATGCCCCAAATATCACTTGCAAAGTTATTCCACGTAAATGCTCCTCTATACACGTTGTAGTTAAAATTCTTCCATGGTTTACTCATTTGCAGGCCAATGTAATGTACCTATACATTTATTTTCTATTGCCTCAGCTATTTAATTAAAATCACAACTATTATTAACTATAACTGTAATAGATAGTAGGTTTCCTACTTGTTGTGTTGTAATTAAGTTGTTTATTTCATCGGAAATTCCTGCAATCTTCTATATTCTCCATCACATATTAGTTATAGTTACCTTTATGTACACAAGTACGTTAATTCAAGCAATAAACGAGTTCAGTACAATTCAGTTTAGTGTGGCTCACTTAGCAAGAGTAGTCAGATAAGCCAAAAGATCAGCCCTAGCTTTACAACAGGTTGACCTTCACTGACCCTTGGCCAAAATTTTATTACATATATTTATTTGTGGGACTTACAGAAATAACAGTTTGAAACATGTAAGCAGTGTTATGGTGTAACATGTAAATTCCTATTGGAACTTCAATGAGACATCATACCAAATGACAGAAGTAACAAACCTGTTAGTATCTTGCTTTTTCAAATAGTTCTGCATCTCAACCTCATCATCATTAAAAAACACACTGTAACTGAGATCTTGCCTACTCTTTCTCTTTCTTCTACCAGTACTACTACACTCTACAGGATCATCACTTTTCTAGAATGAGAAAAGCATTGAAAAAGCATAACTTTTTATTGCTTTAGACACTGAAAATAATAATACTGTTAGCCAAACCTTAAAAACATCTCAGGCTTACAAAATTTTTAGGAGGCTCAAAATGTGATGGAAAAGGAGACAAATTCCACTTGGAAAGACCTCTAGAAGTCTTAACAGCAGTATACCACACGATATAAGATAAGAATAGATCACATCTGATGCACTTGAATTGCATGTTGGATTCAACGTACAGCAGAGCACTAAAGAACCACTGAGTAAAGACAGTTTGATATCCATAAGCTGCTGTCAAACATTATCACTGTTTGAGTTGCTAACAAGCAAATCTATACTTCAAGGCAAAAGTACAGAGGTTTTCTTTAAGAACTGTAACAGCAGTATGTTAAAAAAAGCTCAGGTCTGTGTAGCTTGTATTGGATGATGCACCTGTTTCTGATGTCTAACAAAGACCCAGGGAAGCAAGGCAAATATTCCACTGAATTGCAAGACCAAAAAGCCTGTTTTGTAAACAGTAATTAGTCCTTGGGAAAGTGTTCCACAAGTCACATTTCAAAATAGTTCATCAATAGAGGGATATTCTTAAATTAAAAACACTAAAATGAAAAAATAGTTATAATAGCAGTCCCAAGTGGATTACCTTCTTCTGGCCAAGAATGTCTGGGAGTGTCTTGTCCAAACATGCTTTGTACAATGTCTGCTGCTTCTCTGTCAATGGTGCATAAACCAAAACCTCTTTCTTAGGTGGCAAGGATAATTCAACATCAGTTTTCAGGCGTCTCAAGAGGAAAGGTGTAAGTATCTAAAACATGATCAAATAATGAATTCAGTTTGAACACTGGAAACTATCATCAGGATAAAAATAAAAAAACTGCTGCAAAAATGCTGAGTTTATGAAAGATTCAGAAAATAACCAGCTGAAACATAATGCACATTAGAATCCAAAGCAATGTTTAAACCCTTTGACCCCTAAGAGTGACCAGCTTCTAATTTTTCCTCACAATATCACCCCTAAGAAGAAAATAAATAATCATCAAATAGAGAAGTTTTTAATTGTCAAACAAATTCTCCTCAACAGCATCCCAGGAAATTTATAGAGAACAGTATGGAGAATATGCATAACAGTGTTAGGGTGTAAAGGATTTAACATGGACTGAAGAAATGTCTCCTCTCAGAGGTAATTTAAGACACTTGCAAAATTAATGATGGTGACACGGGTTCAGGGAGAGAAACCACAGACATGACTACACAGCTACCCTCTATGAAAGCCTCAACACAGTTAATGATAGTTACAATTGGCAAACAACTGGTTTTAACTTGGCTGTGAAAACAGCTATAGTAAGCATTGTGCAAGTCATGCTATGTTAGCCAATATCTGAGTCAAATATCAAGGATTAAATGTAGCAATTGGTAGAAAAAAAGAGAATGGTTACAACAGCAGAGATGAATGACCCAGGTTACCAGTTGCAGCGATCACAATGGAACTAGTCAAGGCACAGGCTTAAGAGAGAGGGTGTTAACAACTGCCTTAGAGCATTAGGGTGGACAATTTGCAAGGCAACAGAAAACTGAAAGAAAATAGGCAGAAAGGAAGACTGAAATAAGATGGGGCAGAAAAGCTGGGGCCAAGCCAAAGTAATTGTACAGAATAAAGAGCGCTGGTTGAAAACCTTGATGACTTTATGTCCCCACTACTGTGATGAATATAGGTGATACTGGTGACTTAGAAAACAAATCTTAAGGTTGTAAAACCACATGTCACATACAGCATGAAGTCTTTGTAGGACTTGATGCTCCCTCTCTTGTTGAATAATCTTCTCATTTCCACCATCTTCACTAAGAGCACTAAAATCAAACCATCTCTGAAAACTAAACACAATTCACCTATCAGATCACTTGTCAGTTATATCAACAATTGGGATTATGTGTACTTAATGCACACCTGTGCTGTTATTCATTTGTGTTTTGTAGTTTTTACCCACAGAGAACTGTAATAAAATTGAAATAATTAAATATATCTAAATACTTCAACGTTATATTTTTATCAGCCAGAGCCACCAAATTAAAAAAGAAAAGTAACAAAACATGCATAATAAGGTGGATAAGATGACATTGTCTTCATGGGTTACTACACTATTTTTTCTATGGCTGACATGGAATAAAACTCACCTATCTAGGTCATCAAATATGTCTGGTAAAAGGAAATTTAACAAAGACCAAAGCTCTGACAAATTGTTCTGCAATGGGGTGCCTGTAAGTAGCAAACGATTTGCTGTCTTGTATGTCTTCAACTCCCTGATGAATGTAAATACATGATCACTGTTTTATTAATATCTAACATATTCCATCTTCTCAAAGGAGTCACTTTTAACTTTCACTTTTAACCAACTAAATAAGGACAAAAGTGATTTTTGATAAAAGACTCTTCAGTCACTAGATGCTTTGATGGACAAGTGAAAGACATCCAATTATTTTAACATTACATATGCCAACTACCAGTCCACTCTTTACTCTCACCTGATAAGCTTACAATTAAGGTTTTTGATGCGATGCCCTTCATCAACAATGAGGTACTTCCAGTTCAAATCATGCATAGTTTTCTGATCATTCATACAAATCTCGTAGGAAGTGACTACCACAGGCAGAGTATAAATTTCGCCTTCCACATGCACCAGCTTTTGCAGTTGGCCTCTCAGACGCAGACGTTCCAGTTGTGTGCCATGATAAAACATCACAGGAATCTAAAGAGAGAGAACAAAATTGTAATTTAGTCATCAACCACCTAGATAGTAAATATAATTAATATTTTTTGCGGTTAAATTGCGAACAGATTAATTCATTTTGAATAAACAAGGGTTCCTGGCTATCAACCAAAAAGTACACGTACTAAACATCTAAACTCATAAAGCAACCTAGCCACAGACTTTATAAAGTTAATATTAGAAAATAGGCTTTGGGTTCCCACAGAGCACTTCTAGAAAATAACTGGAGAAGAAACACATTTTTCATATTCTATGACAATGGCATACCACCTGAAACAACAGTATAAAAACCTTTTACTAGATGAGTTAAATATTAATTTTACCGTTCATTTGTATTGCTGTACCTTTGGGGCAAATTTCTGGAATTCTTTAACCCAGTTATTCAGTGTAGACAGAGGAGCAGCTACAAGAAAAGGTCCTCTGACTCCCATTTCAATAAAGTGTGCCAATAGTGAGATGCACTGCAGTGTTTTACCAAGACCCATCTCATCAGCTAAGATGCCATTCATACCATTTTCATAAAGGACCTGTTGATCAAGGTTATTGCCAGTACACAATCACTGAATGTACCCTGAAGTTAGCCAACTTTACCACACTAATTAGAAACAGTATTCCTGACACAGTTCTTGTAAAATTTACATGGACTGCACAGAAACCTTCTCATCTTTGACTAACCACAAAGATACAAAACATTTAGTAAAGTCTGCCTTAATCAAACTTAAAACCAATAAAATCTGACCACAAGGAGGACAAGTTTGTATATGAAACTGTCCAAGTATGCTATGTCAACAAATGAAAAGTTTAAGATGCCTCATAAAACTTATCAAACTCATGAAGAAAAATCTTACAACATTGAGGTTAAAAAGCTGGTTCTCAATCCACTCAAACAGGAATAGATGACAACTTTGAAATATAAATACTGTGCTAATTGCTTGATACACTAATAATGAAATAATCAACCAAACAACAATGAAAGCATTTGAATTGTGATGATACCAACGTAATCACTTTACCTTAAGCCAAGCAAGACCTTTAAGCTGATATGGCCTTAGCTCTCCTCCAGTAACAAACCGTGGTTGAGTTGTTGATTTGTCTTCATCACTACTGCTTGAGCAACCAGGCTCCTGGGTTATAAATTTTTAGGCAAATCAAACACACTTTCCAAAGCAATATGTTGTGTGTAGTGATTAAGTCTTACCTTTTGTCGAATGATGCAGCCACCTCAGCTAACTATACTTGTCTTCCTTAAGTGGTGAGGTCAAATGGTTGCACATCACTTTGTGTACAACAATTCTTACTGCTCTTATTAGTCTATTTTGATTGAAGTTGTTTTTGTGCCATGCTTTGATAAACATGAAATTTAATATACCCACAAGAGTCAACCACATCTACAGCTCAACATTGAATCTTGCATACAAAAAAGAGTAAGTTGAAAATGTGCCACTTACAAATCAAATTTGTTTGAGTCGAGGGAATATAAATTTAGAGACATGCTTAGTCATATAATAGATTGATTACAAGAGGAACAACAGCTGTGACTGGCTGTGTTTAGAATTCCTCAATCTGATTACCTTGCTTTCATCCCCATGGTCTCCATTCATTTCCGAGACATACTGGGATACATGTATAGTAGATGAAGATTCCATGCCAACATTCTCACTGTCTTCTGATACTTTGCACCTCTTGGTAAGTGACTACAAAAATAAAATAAAAAATTAGAGACATTACAGAACACCACAAGAGCTCACCACAAAAACCACAGATACACTGTCAAAATCACAATATGACGAATCATCTATTTTTTGCTCACCAGAGATTTTTGATTTGATCTTAAGACTCATGATCAGAAATCCAAAAGCAATGATCCTTAAACTGCGTAATGACATGGATATACAGTCACATTGTTCTCACAATGTGAGTTATTGACCAGTACAACACCAATAACAGCAATGGTGTTAGACTTAGACTGCTTAATGCTGAAGATTTATCTAAATATTCATGAATGCAACATCCTTTGTCAACAAGACCTAACCTTTTTTAATCTGACAATATGCACAAAGTATTTAGTGACTGCACGAAAAATGTTACCTGGGCCAGATGAATGAAAGCTCTGGGTATCACCTTTAGTTAGTTTTTCTTCTAAAACTATACTTAAAACTTAAGACCAGGTCCAAACATTTGACATTTGAGCCTTACTGTCAACTTTGAATTTAACAAGCACCCTGTCCAGAAGTTATCCAGAGAATTATCCACATGAAAGTATTCAATGATACTCAGAGTCTACATTTTTGATAGCTGTTTGTTACCTCTTTGTCAAGATAATTGGATATCATGTAGCTTGAGGAATCTTCTGCCTTTCTTTTTCTACCAGCTTTCCTGTTGGAGACTGTTTTCTTCTTTTGAGGGCTAGTTTCAACAGTGCCATTCAATTTCTTGTGACCTCTTGCACTTACCCTGCGTTCGGTGTGGGAAACCTATACATATATGTACATATAAACATAGTACCACTCTTCTTTTTATTTGTGTATTTAAAGGTAATTTTCCTATCATGTTCCTCAAAAACAACTTTTTTTTCAATTTCTTGCTGGTTTAGCACTCTTCCAATCACTGACTGACACATATTTCCCAGTCAACTAACCATACTGCTTTCTATGCATGTGTGTGCAATCACAAACACATAAGAGGTTGGTCACTATGTACAGACCAAGTTACTCAAACTTAGACTTGTGAATATGAATTAGAGGGCAACAAAATATAAATGTAGGATGATGGGCTTTATGAAAATAAAAAAAATGAAAAAAAGAAAAAAAAAGAAAAAAAAAAGAGGACAGTGAGGAAATAATGGAAGAATCACTGGTCATGTTGGATGTAGAACCATCAAACATAGAGTCATTAAGGTAAGTCTAACAATTTGGAACACGATACAAAAATGGAATTGTTGGTTGACAAAAGCATTGATATTCAATTGCCAAGCAAATTCACAGCATCCATTTCAGTAGAAACTTTACACATTGAAAGCAATGCACAAAATAGCATTTAGGAGCCCATACTTTCGAATATATTTTTTTGATAGGGAAGATGCCCCGAGACCCCCCCAAAAAGCTCTCATGTCGCCAGCCATCTATTTCATGTACCTTGCCAAATACTCCACAACTTACAGAGAACCCTGATCACTCTTTGAAATTTGAACAAATACCTAAAACAGTTATGGAAACGCTAATTGAAATAGGAAATATGTAAAAATAGAAGAATAAAAGTGCTTTAGATTTATTTTTAACACTACCATTTGCATGCCATCCTTCTCCTTGTTTCTTTTCTTTTCTAGCTTTTCTTGCTTCTTCTCTGCTTCCACTTTCTGCTTTTCCATTTTTTTAAGAAGAAAATCACAATAAATTTGTGACTTTTCCAACAAAAGCATTAGACGAAGCGTCCTTTTCTCGTCTTCAACACTCTCCCATTCTTGTTCAGCCTGGGTAAACATAAAAACCACAACCTTGTAACATCACTTTTCCTCTATCCTACACAATAAGGTATTTTGCAGTTATAGGAATGGAAGCTGGTTTCCCTCTGGGATAAAGCCAAACATTAAAAAAAACCCTGAATATCAAGAACCACTTATTGTAGGTTTTCCCCATAACCAATAAAAAACTACTGCCTTTTTTCAGAGAGATATTTCATTGGAAAATCAACTTCCATGCAAGTTGGAAATAAGGTTTCATTCCAGAGGAATCTTCTTTTCAATTTCCAAAAAGTTATCGTGCCACTTGCATTATAAAAGATGCAAAACTTACTAACTAAAAGAAAAGATGGTGTATGCAATTCTGGAAGATTATTTTACTGTAGATTGTTGAACAGATAATATAATTATAAAATCCAGGGCTGCTTTATTACGGCCTTTATATGTTACTAAATAAATCAACAAACTATTAATCAATAGATTTGGAAACTGATGAAATGTAATTTCAAAACTACCTTAACTCTCAAATCTTGTTGTTCTTTGCTAGAAACCTCATGAAGAGCTTTCTCTTCTTCCTCCATGGCTGCAGTAACTTCACCCACATTTGAGTCCTCTGGTGGTGACAGCGAGCCAACATTATTATTCTCCTGTAAACAAAGTAAGACAATTTTTGAAAATTACATTTGATATATACAAGAGCTACATGTAAGACCTTCTTTAGTTCCTATGCTGTATTTCAACTAGTTTGCAAGTAGTCTCAAATACAAAAAAGGGCAAGAAAAAATATACATATGCTTGCAAAGGAAAGGACTCAGCATATGTATTAATGTAAAATTTAAACAATTTTGGTATGGTATGGCTGTAAATGCAAGCTTTCTAGATTAATATCATTATTGTCATATTTCAGACTTTCAGCCAGAATAGCTTGGAAACTGTGACCTTATTGTATCACTCTATAATTTACTGATGTGGTAATTTCCTCTTATTACTGTTTAAATGCTCACTTGCCTAGAAATACAACACAATATTTACAGTTTCATTTAGGAATAGAAATTGACAGATTAAAAGGATTGTACAGGAAAGAAAATTCAAAACGGCAGGTTGTGTATTCAACAGATGTAGCTAGCTATAAAAAGTAATATTCTTAACCTCTTGACTTGTCATCGTTTCCTCATGTCCATTACATTCAACTTGTATGTCTCCGGAGACAGTTTCAATATTATTCCCTTTCCAATAGTTAACAAACTGCAATGTTAACCAATCAAAGTCATTGTTAAAACAACTGACTTGAACATTCTTCAAAATGTTACATGCAATTAAAACTATAAAGCTATCAATAATTCCTAAGCCTGTATACACTTACAATTGGAAGCATCATTCCTCTTTAAAATGTCTTAAATTACATCATCTCACCCACAATTACAAAGTGATCACCCCTCTTTATACGGTTTTTAAAGATATTTTTCAAAAATTCAATTAGTGTTTGAACTCTAATCACTATTCAGATGCAAGTTCCAAATGCAGCACAACACTGTATAACCCCACTGAATGAAACTTTTAACTGAATTAATCAATAGACATACCTAAGATTTCCATAAATCACTAGCTTTCTGAACTTCCTGTTGAAGATTCATAATTAAAACTCGAGTTGAGATTCAAAACTAAATAGCCTCCTAAACTGAATTAATACTGCCTACTTTCTGATCAGGAAATAGCAAAAGCTTAATGTCACAAAGTATTATAAAAGGATTGAGTAATTTTCGGCTCTAAAACAAGCACTATGTTAAAGAAAACAAGAATATGAACCGTAACATAACCTCTCTGAATTTTCCAGAACGTTCCCTGAAAGTTTATTAGTACATCCTACATTATCAACACTCCTTGAAAAATCCCAATCCATCTCTTTCCTTTGAACTTTGAGTCAAAGAGATATCTGGGGTCAATCAATCAAGGAATTAAGGTGGCTCTGATCCTATGCTATGGATTTCAATTAAACTTTGCAATGCTAAGGGATAAATCTTGATATGATGGTTCTTGGCTACATAAATATAAAGCTATTTTTCAGAGTGTTTTCGAATGGTTGTAGTGTGACTTTGGAAACCTCTAATGTCGAAAGAATGTGCACAGCTTGACAATAATCGTGTCTTTGTTCGAATCCACTTTCAATTAATATTTATCAACCATCGTACCATCAAAGAATGAGTATTTATATGCACTGAAACCGTTTTTAGTTACTATAAAATGTGACAACGGATACAAACATCCTCCAGTAAGCGATGGTTCTTCCTTCGTGAAGGATTAAGGATTTAAACAAAGGGCAAGTGGCTACTCAGTGGCTGTACATATAAACTGATGCATGCGGTACAAATCAAAGTATTATGTAACGCACAACTCTTACTTACCTTTGATAAAGCAGGATACATGTCACCTGGATTAGATTTAAGGCAGCATTCGAACAATAAATATGTGGTCTTGATGCTAGCGACAGAACTAAGGTTGCCAAACGAACCGAGTAGACCAACCGAGCGAGGATGCGGGAACAAATGTGTACACGAGTGCAGGGCCTGACCGACCGGCACCAACATTCCCGCCAAAATTGTCACGTGGTATGCAGAGGGGGGTAGTGATCTTACATTGGCTAAGGTTATCTTTGAAAAGACGATCTATTATCAAGAAGACACCAACATTTTGTAATATACATATTCATGTAGCAGAATATTACTGAAAAGGGCTATTAAAAGCGATACCTTGATCCTGAAGAGTAAGAAATTACTTTACCCTCCCCACTCCACACAAAACTGTAACTACTGGAGAACGGTACAGTGCAATTATATGAAGTGATATAAGAATGGTACAAAGATGGCGGACAAGGACAGTTCGAGTAAGGAGAATCCTTTCTCTTTTAAAACGTTTGTAAAATCAAAACAAGAAACTGAGACCACAACAAGTAAGATAAAAAAAGACAAGCATAAATCAAAAAGTTCTCCCGCAAGTGTACGAAAGAGGGACAGCTCCACAGATGAACCGCCTTTTCCGGAAGTCAGCAGACAAGGTGAGCTTACAGGAAATGACTTGCATTGTTAAATATATCAAATTTAGAGTACTCTCTTACTTGCCGATGTCATATTATATGAAGTATTTACACTATACTAGTATTTGTGGCAACTTTCCGTAGAAATCAAGAGAAAGGTTTTATGCTCTGAATAGTTAGGAGACTGCTTTTGTTTTCATGAGTACGTATGAATCAGTCACTTGGTTGATATCAAAAACGTAGTTTCGAATACGCCTAACATTTGGAATGTCTGACGACTCCAATGAGCTAAAATTGAGTCCATTGACTACAAATTTACCGAGAATAAAGTTGAAGCGTACAACAACAACAATCTTTATTTCGACCAACTATTTTTAACAAACGTACGTTGTAAAGTTAAGGATACGGTAGACTTTCGCGGGTGTCCTTCGCTAAAAAATTGTGACCACGCTATTAAAAGTGTAATCACTATAAACCATATATGAATGGAAAGGTTATGAAATACACTATCCAACAAAAGTTGTTTCGTTTCAACGTGATCCAATGGTAAACCGACTGAAACGCGACAATCCGAAACGGACAATGGTTCTCTAAGCGAATTAATTGAGTATCAAATCAACTGCACAAACAGAATTTCTGCCAATTTCAATCATAAGAGGTTAGTCTTGAAAACCATGTGGAGCTTTTTTGATGTTCCTATTGGTTGCTTTGCAATCTTTTTGTCAAGTAAAGTCATCAAAATTTTACTGATATGTGTTACATCGGAGACCATTGTAGGAGATCAAATTTAAATAGGGAAAAGCCCCACACGGTCTTCAGATTGGTGTCTCTGGAGCCTTCGGACCAAATTTCAAGTCAATCTGTAAAGGTTTTATACCCTATTAAATCATCCAAAGAAGACACACTAATGTAAATATAAAGTGTGTTTTTTCACCTCCAAAGTTTTGTCAACACTCCACACTTTTGGTTTACCACATGTCAAGTTATCATTCTGAAAAACTTGAAATGCTAACCACCAATAACAATATAGAAACAGAGTCCCAGGAGACTCTCAACAAAATATGATTTGCAGGAAACTATTATGCTGTTGTGCATGACAGAGCTTTGTTCAGAAGAAATTCAAAGCAATGGAAAGTTTGTTGGTGCCGTCAAGTTCAACTCTTACTGACCCTAAGTAGGCAGAACTTGTTGATGGTTGCTTGAGGGCAAGCAGCAAAGATAGCGCATTCCATGAGCCCTTGTCTGTGTTGGCAAGATTTTTTCCCCATTCTTCATCAAAATCCTTCAATCTCTGGCTCTTATGGCTAGGTTTCTTTTGAGCTTTAACCCAAGGACTCTTTCCCTTTTTATCTCTACCTATTTTTGAAATACAAACATTCAAGATGTTTATGTGATTACTACCTCATATATTCTGCAACGAAAAACATCACAGAAGTCATTTGTGTTGACACATCTTGATTGGCTTTTTAAACTTTGGTGGCTTAAAGAATTCAGTTCAGAAAAATGTTTCTGTAAATAACTCAAGTATGTTTCAATATTTTACAAAAATGTTTGGTAGAAACTGTTAGTAAAAATAGTTTTACTTTTTTTGAGTTAAAAAAATATGGCTTGCAAAGGTCTACCATATCCTTAAATATAAATGTAAATTATATACATAAGGGTGAGGTAGTATGATTAAATTTGATTGTACATGTTTGCTTTAACATGACAGACAATCTAATTTTCTTAGTGAAAGATTTTCTTCTTGACTCATTTTTGGAGCCAGACACTCTCTTGCTGACTACCTTTGATTGTTCTTTTGATCCACAAGAGAGGTTTCCCATAAGTTATTTTCCAGCTGCCAGTACTCTATGACTACTTCTATTATCCTTGATTTAATCTGGTTTTTCCTGTGAATGATGCAGTAATTCGAAGTCTTTTTATGACTCTCATGATGATACAATTATAGCACTAACGTGCAAAACTGCTTTAAAGATAAGTGACCCAAAACAACTCCCTGGCACTGCCATGTATAGTTTTATGCCATAAAGCCACATGGGTTAATCTTTTTAAAATCCTACTGTTGACTTTTAAATCTTTAAATTATTTAAGTCTTAGCCATATTAGTGATTTGTTGCAGACTTACAAGCCATCTAGGAGTTTACAATCATCAACCATGAACTTGTTAGTGACACCTAAATCAAGGTTAAAATTTTATGGTGATCGTGTTTTTTGGATCTACACTCCTAAACTGCATATAAAATATAGTTTAAATCTTACATCTTTTTAAGAGCAACCTTAAAACTTATCTTATTTAAGCACTATTTTAATTTGTAGTTTTGCTTTAAGTATTTTTTGAATTTATTATTTTCCAAGTTGCTGCTTGAAACATCTTATTGTAAAGCGCTGTAGAGCTCTTGAATAGGGTGCTATAGAAATTTTTGTATTATTATTATTAATCTTAATATAGAATAAGATTTATTCTATTGTACCCCTGGCAGTCAATGAAGAAGGTGATGATGGTAATGACCAAGGTGTAGTCAATCCCTTTTCATTCAAGAATTTCCTCTCAGATGACCTGGCATCAAGAAATAAGCGTGTGTTGCAGGTAATATTTAAATTATGTTTGGCCAACCAATAGCCTATGACAGTAGCAGGTCTTGCATATCAAGATGACTATAATTTACCTAATCCTATCACTTTTGATACAAGCACTTGGTGTTTTGTGGTGTTTCATTGCTTTTCATATAGAAAGTGGTTTAAAGCTACTGGTGTATTTTTTCTCATATGTAATTTTGGTTTATTAATGTATTTCTTGTCACTCTTAAATCACTTCTTTGTAACTCAAACCTTCATGAGATTTCCTACTTTTCACAAGTAACAGGAAACTGTTTTTGGGATAAGTTTTTGATCATAAAATTTCTAAGTCTCCTTTTACAGCGTGTAGTGAGTACGGAGATGGTGAAGAATCTTGAAGTTTTTTGTGTCATTTTTATGTTGTTTTTATAGATAGTTGATGATGAAGTATGTGAAGTGAACACAGATCAGGATAATGGAAAAAGAAATGTAGGAACCGATCATGTTATACTCTTTGGTTGGTCTTGGTTTAAAATATAATAATATATTTTCCATTATTTTTGTAGATCATTGACTTGATTATTTTTTAAATTAATTAAAGGTGATGATTTTAGAAAAATAACAAACGCACTTTCAATATTCAAAGTTCTTTTATTTGTGTTTGAAATATGTAGGGAACCAAAAGTCAAGAATTAAACATGGAAACTGCTGCCCAAAGTGACAGTGGCTCAGAGACAGAGGATGAGAGTGAGTTAACAAGTAGCCTTGAGTCACAAATGAGTGGGAGTATCAACTACTTTGTAGCTTCTCTAGACAGCTCTGAGACTCAGGAAAAGATCATTGAAGAAATGAATCAGGTTAGACAAGACTAACTTCAGGAGAGTATTTAACACTTTTTGTCCAAAGTTTCTCATCCTATGTAAAATATAAGACAAACTTTTAGTATGAGTTCAAATAACACTTGTTTTAACCACATGCAATATTACTTTGAATTTAATTAACATCTGCCCTCTGACTTTCAAGACTTTAATTATGATTTTATTATTAATCATAACTAATACAATTTCCTCAAATTAATGTGATTGGTGCATGATCTGCTTTATTTTTCTCTAACCATTCTGTAAAGTTGTAATCAGACAGAGTAATCAAACAGTTGGCTGTAATCCTACACTTGTAATTAGACAGTTGAAGCAGCCAATCATACTCAGTCCTTTCAGCCAAATCCACCAGTCACAGAATTGATCACAATAACCATAATAGCGACAACCACTTATCCTAAAAAAAACTGATGAAATTTCCAAAATTGAGGAATTTTTTACTTTTGACATTGTCTCTACCAGAGATATTTGTCGTAAATGTATTTGTTGTTTTCAAAAATTGTAACAGTTTTTATTAATTGGAGATTAATGTCCAAGTCTGTTGGTAATCCTACTTTTGATTGACAAATTGGACTCCAGTTTTGTGGTTGTCCAATTTTCTTAATCACTTGACTGCATGATTACAGACTGAATTGGACTCCACTTGGCCCTGTTACCATAATGATTAGTACCGTAATTTCCGGTCGATTACCCGCGGGTAATCTGTTGATTTTGCATTAAATCCGCGCCACTGCGGGTAATAGGGAGGTGCGGGTTATGTGACAATTTTAAATTCTTCTGGAAGTTGAATTGAAAAAAATTCTCACCTACCTGCGTTTCCACCTCTCAAATGAATTTTATTGTATCAAAAGTGCCACAAAGCGGCACGAAAACATGATGCCAACTCGAGTTTATTTCACGCATAATTAGTTGCGTGACAAACAAATTTTTATCGGCACGCGTGAAAACAAAACCTTGATGGTGACAAAAATAATCCAAGGATATCCGGCGCATCAGTAACAAATTTCCAGTTTTCACTAGCTTGAGCTAAAGAGAATTTTCCCGTTTTAAGGGACTTGTTAGGCCCAGTAGAACAGGAGATATCGATTTTTTTGAGAAATTGCCGACAGTAATTTTAAATCCCAAATGCATCACCAGAATGTTGAAAATAATAGGTGCGAAACTTAACTAATTTCGCGCTGAAAAAGTATTTTAACGACAAATGAACAATGGATATTGCTCATTACGCTCCTACATGCTATAAAAAGGTAACTGACTGAATAAGAATTATAAACCTCGATCATTCGCGATAAGTGTATCCACGAGTCACCAATTAAGTTAAAATGCCTGCTGTGAAACGCCCACGTCACAGTTTTACGTTTGATTATAAGCTTAGAGTAATAACTCTTGCCGATGAAATCGGTAATAGAGCAGCAGCAATAATCAATCAATAAAGTATAAGCTAATATTGACACAGAATTGTGCACATGTCTGAATCGAAAGACTGAAATGTATCGCCTTAATGTCACGTTTTCGCCACCGAAAAAGTTGAATAACAACGTGCGGGTTATCCACCGGTGCGGGTAATCCGTTGACTTTTTTTTTCGCCGTATGCAATAATCGGCCGGTGCGGGTAATCGGCCGTGCGGGTAATCGACCGGAAATTACGGTAATCAGCCACAGAAGTTCCTATGCATTCCATTTGGCCATTCATTTAATTTGGGTATTCTGCAGAAAAAAAGCCCTCCTCTGTTTATTTTCCATGGTAGAAATCATGTAACTGAGAGGAAAAACCTACTGAATTCTACCATTACTCCCGGAGGGCAGTAAACACTTTCAGAGTATAACCGTTGATCCAAAATTTTCCATGTTATCTCCACAGTTGAAAGAGGAAAATGAGAAACTGAGAAGAGAGTTACAGGAATCCAACCAAACTGTGGATAAAGAAAAGAAGAGGTGACATGAATCAGCTAAAAAATATGTATTGGTAGTCATGTAAAAAGGCACTGGGAGGGTAAAGTTTCTTGCCCAAAAATTAATAACAATTTGGAATAACACATTTGCGTTGTATGTTTTCTCTACCAGAATTATAAGTTTGCAAAAGAAACTTGCAAAGATTGAGAAAAGAGAGGCAGATGAAACTGCAGCTTTAGAAAATATGGTGCAAATGGTGGAGAAAAATTTAGAATTGACTACGGTGAGAGGAATGCAAGACTTTTTAATAGAGGCATTAGCTTGTAGGTCAGACAACTCTGTTGGATTTTATTTTGATTGCATTACTTCACATGCTTCACAGTTGGCATGGTATTTCATTGAAATTCTCATAGTGATTCAGATTGTGTCAGAATGAAAAGTTTTTATAGGGGAATGTAGGCTTTGAAATAGGTTTTACTTGTTAATAAGACTTTATAAGATGATATCATTTTAAAAAATTGACAACGACAATATTTTCTGGAATTTGGTAGACCTACAAAGGGGAGGCTAGTACACCATATTTTGATAGCAGTGATATAGAAATTTGAAACATGTCTTTTACAGCTTTTTAATTTATTGGTTAGGCTTCTGATGCATTTGGTGCAAATCTGTTATCTTACTTACCTACTATTCTGAAGATAACGAAAAGTTAATATTGATAATTATATAAATTAAAGCCTAAAATATGTCAACCCACAAGATATAAAAAAATTATTGCCAATAAATATTATAACACTATCAAAAGGGTTTCCTTTTATTACTGACTAAGAATATCACGCTGATCTTTTAAGAATATTAAATAAGGTAATCCTCATAAACTTGTTTGAGTCGAAAATTCATTGTATATCCATCTATATTTGTTGTTATTTTACAGCAAAGAGCTCTCAGAGCTGAAGCTACAGTTGCAAAATTGATGGAAGAAGTAAATATATTAAAGGTTTGGAAGAAGATTCTTAATTTTGTTGCTACTTATTAGCTAATAATATACCTGAAAAAATTTCTTGATTTTGATTAGCTAAGAGAAATGCAGCTTCAAGTATCACTGTGTGGAAAATAGTAATTCTGTGTAGAAAAAGAACACAAACTGTTAACAAGGTATTTTAAAACTGTTGATTGTTGTTTGATTTGTTTCAAACAAACACACAATGATATTTCCAAGGTTTTAACGAACTTTTACATATTATTTATCAATACATATTGCATATTTTTCATGCATATAGTATTTCCTTGAATGTTATATAAGCACCCATGCTCTAATGAGAGTAAACACTTACTGTCTAGACCATAATGGCAAACAAGCACCAGGCCCTGGGAATAAGTGCCCCCCCCCCCCTCTCTTCTGCCACTTTGTTAAATAGTAGGGAAAAAGGAAAATCTGTTTTCTATCTTTATTTAAAACTATTTAAGCCTCAACTACAGAAAAACTTTGAAAAACTTACATGAGCTTGTTTGTTCCAAATTGTACTTGAAATTAAGGAATTTGCCTTTCCAATTATTGACGAGGAATCATTTTTTTATGTCATTTTTAACATTTGTGATCTTCCATGAGCTAACTTGTATCGTAGTTACCTAAAACAGCAAGTTAATTAACTTGGATATATAAAATAATTTCAGTGCAGAATGTTCTTAACAATAAGTCAGATGGGACCAATGTTTTGGTCTTTGGTCAGACATGGAACAAAATCTACGAAGGTTAGATTATCTCTGATTTACCTCTACATATAGTTTACAATAATTTTTCTGCTATTTTTCACCAGACAGAGTCTGTTCCCATAACAACATATAACCAGCTGTTAGATGCCAATCATTATACAATGACAGCTGTCAAAGATAAATCAAAAGCTGCTGCTGATCAGATGAACATAGCAGCAAAAAATGCAGAGCAAGCAGTAAGGTGTGTGCATGGTTATTTCTTGTAATCAAGCTTGCCTAATTGCAGTGTCAAATTTGATTTCAAGGCACTTTGTCTTTGGACAGATCTTAGTGATTTGTCTTATTGTCACAAATTTTTATTGACAGCAACTTTTTCAGTGACAACTGATTACTTTTGTGAGTCAATGATAATAATTTTCCCTGTCAAATTGTTTATGTTGGCATTCATCTAGTTATATTCAGTTTTGTAATGTGATTTGCAAGAATTTGAATACTTCAAGTTGAACACATTCTGTTTACATTGGGTTGTTCATTTTAGATAATCAAGATGTGCTTATATTTAAAAAAGAATTATCATTGTTGAAAAATGCATCCTGACATGGAATTTTACTAAATAATTTATTGTTCTGTTACATTTTTGATAAAAATAACAGCAATATTTAACTCTGTTAGCATATTTTAAAACCATAAATGTTGTGCTAAGGACATGAAGAACAGTCCCTCTGTGTCTTGTATCTCTCACGGACGTCTGAGCCCTTGTAGGGTAGAGCATTGTGTAACTTATATTTCAGTGAATCATTTATCACTGTTCATTTGTTTGCTCTTAGGCAACTGCTTACTGGAGTGGACACGCTGAAGTTCATATCACAACAGCTCGAGTCTATTGATAGAATAACAGATGTTCATGTGCATTCAGAGAAGATTTAACCCTGTACACTCTAACATTAGTATCCATATTTTCCATAATCTTTTCTCTACTTTTCCTTTGGTACTGACAGGGAAAATTTGTGTTAAAATCAAAGTTTCTTAGCTTGGCGATCATTTTCTTTATAATCATGATTATAAGAAAAAACAATCAAGAAGCTGCTTACCTCCTGTGTTAACACTCTACTTTTTTGTATTTTCCTAAGAAAATTGATGGTATTTAAATGTGTTGACTTTTTTGGAAACAAAAAAAAAGATATGTACAGTTGTAAATTAATGAATTAAGTTGATAAGTTGATTAGAGTTTGTGTTCTATCATTCCTTGGCTGATAAACATGTAAAGTACTCCTAGGAGATACTGATACTGAAATGAGATAAAGATTTACACTAGTGAAATCTAATTTATATTTAACCACTTTAACCCAAGCATGCACAGCTGTTAGATTCTCACAGTGATGACCAGTGGTACTTTGATCCATAGCATCCACAGGAATTTCAAGTTGTCATAGTAACAGTTCAAAGCATCAGGGGGAGTGTTAGCTTTGTACAAGTTAAGCATTCCAAGGATCCTATATCCTACTTCAATGGGTGATTACATGCTGACACCAATGGCAACATTTGTTAATAAAAATATGAAATTTCACTGTAATGCTTGCTTTTTGTACAAAAAGGCGTGGCAATTGTCAAACATAATTGCAATCAAATTTCACTTTAGGGGTCAGTTACTACCACAGGTTGCGAGTTAAGCCTCTGTAGATAGCTTATTATTTTCAAAGCCACGTCAGATTTTAGGTCAAGGATGTGACCTTTCATTCCTGCGCAAAACCTTATAATTTCACCTATTTTACAACGTACACATGTCAACATGTTTGCAGAGGGTTATCAATGTTACTGGCACATATTACAAGCTTGCATGTACTAGAAGAAAGAAACTTGATGCTGTAATACACCAAAAAGTCAAGTCTGTTTTATAATTAAGCAATTAGCCAGACCCTTTTTGAGACTCTGTCAAAAATTAACTTTGGCAAGGTCATAAGAGTGTCAACTTTACAAAGGTTTCACTGTATCTATTGAGTTACTTTTCATTCTCATTTAGCCCATATGTGAAGTAGTCAGTGTAAAATGCAGACTGCAGTCTACAGACTGTGGACTGCAGATCAGGGATAAAATGCAGACTTGGTTCTTTAGTTGAAATTTATGAATATTTCTGATTTCTCTAAATGATTAAACTTAAAAGGAACTTGAGACTTCTACTTGCTCTTAATTTGTTAAGGAAGACTCCGACATTTTTCCAGTGAATAAAAACACATCACAGCAAAACTAAATATCCTAAGCATTCCTTGTCACCCCACAAGAAGCCTAACATAGAATAAGTTGACCATGATAGCTGCAGATTTCCCACGGGTTCATAATGAAGTGAAACACCAAGTGAAATAAGAAAGGCAAACATTTGGGAATGTTGTTTGGAGGTATTTAATCAGACCCTTATCTCACACCCTCAAATTTGCACTAAATTCAAAGAATTTGCACACCTAACTTTGCAGTACAAAACAAAGCTCCTAGAAACAGGTAATCGCAATTGCCACTGTGTGATGAAACTACTTCTACTACTACTACTACTACTATTTTCAAGGCCAAACAAAGTATACATGAGCTACATTTATGTTAAAGCTACTTAATGTTACTCAACAGAATTGTTTACTCCTTAACAGGAGAAATGTATTTAGCAGGCTGTGAACTACACGTTCGAACACTTCCGTTTCTCGTTCTCACCTTAAAACAATATGTCAATGCCAAAACCATCCAAACATCTTTTACTTTTCTGTATGTTTAACTTCTAATAAGTTGTACTGGATTAAAGACCAACTCGCCGACGTCTCTACTCGATTTTATACGTCGGCGATTTGGCGTTGGCGAGTTGAACCATCGGCGACTTGACTGGATACCGTTTGAACACACTTCTAATAACCTGCTTTTTCAAAAAGGTTTGTAGAGATCAAAGGCATACTTTTAAAAATGTGGAAAGTTACATTCTGATTCTGAAGTCTTACAAAAATCATGAAAACTGGGAAGTGTTATGTTTTTTCTTAGCTGCAACAAGTGGAAATCTTTGTGAGGTTTCCTTGTCTCCTCTTCCAATTCTTTTTACATGTGGGATTTTTTTTCTCTGATTTATTTTCTGTTATTTAATTTTTGTGTGTGCTGAGGTCCACTGATTTCATAAATCTTGCTCAATAGATGTCCTTAAAGTGGCCAGGAACCTACTCTAGGAAATATTTTACATTCATTTTATGTCGCTTACATTCTACTCTTCCTTAAATATTTCGATGTTGCTTCAAGTCATGGTGTTGAATTTTTCTTGAATGTGAAAAGAAGGAGGAGAACATCGTTTAGTTTGAGATAGGTTAAGGGTTTTTTGTGGGGTGCTTCATACCCTGACCTTGAAGAAGTCTCTCCGGTAAATTGATAGATTTTGATTGATATTGAAAATGTCACACCCCTCCCCCATAGCTTCCAAGTTGTGTATAACAATTGGGGCTGAATATATCGCATCACATAGTTGAAATCGGTCTACAAGATTTATTCTTCAATGACAAATTTGGGAGGTTAACAGTAACTGATAAGTTAAAATCTCAACTGTTCAAGTCTGATACTTTATCTTTAGATTTTGAACTGCAACTCCGGTGTTACAGCCCATAAATAGGTACAAAAATTACATTAATATTTAAAACAAATGCAGAAACCTCCCTGAAACAAATTATACGAATGTGATATAAATCTTACGACAATAACCTACAAAATTGCCTTCATTCTTTGAAGGCGCGACGATTTGAATTTCAACCTGGTTTCAATTCTTTTTTCGAAATTTTGCCAGAAGTGTGAAACTACTTGAACCGGTTCGCTACAATTGGAAAAAATACAGAAAACACGAGCAATTAAAAAAACATGGTAAGCAATCTGTAGTGAATACTCTCATCTGATGCGCTTAAAATCTCCCACAAAACTTCAAGGGATCAAAACATACAGAAGCATGGAGAGAATTTAGATCGAAACTAACCAATCATAAAATGACGAGGTTTCCTGAGAGGTCCAAGGCTTGTTTGTTTTCTTTGCAGGAAGCTTTGTGTTTTCACTTCAATGTTATTGATTCGTTTATAAAAAAAGAAAATTCGACATCGTTTGTTCCCAATATACATCTTTATTGGTTCATTTTCTTTCATTTTGATCCGGTTCAAATAATCTCTTTGCTCTAAGCGCTTCACAGATTTAGTTGGCTCTCATTCACGTTTTGATTTGTGTCACTGAGCTAGTCACCTCACAGTTTTTTTTGAGTGGTTCAAATAATTTCTTTTCAGTTATTAATTGGAATTTGAGGAGGCCTAAAGAATTAGCTTACACTTAGACTGACTATTGCTTTGTAAACTACGTGCGTGTTGCTTGCCTGCTTCTGTGATATTACTATTGTATAAGAGGTTTAACATGCGTAGCTGACATTTGTTGTTGTTGATGGCTTCAGCCAAGTGCTGTACTCCAATGTCTGAGATTTTATTTGCTGAGAGGGTTAACGCGCGCAACTGACAGTTGTTGTTGTTGATGGCCTCAGCCAAGTGTTGAGCTCCGTTGTCTGAGATTTTATTTGCTCTGAGGTATAACGTGCGTAGCTGACAGTTGTTGTTATTGATGGCTTCAGCTAAATATTCTACTCCTTCATCTGTCATTTGATTCTCTTCGAGGTTTAACCAGCTTAGTTGAAATTCTCTACATTTTAACAATTTACAAATCTCTAAACAACCTAATGGACCAATGTTATTGAAACTCAAATCTAAATGTGAAATGTGTTGAACATTCCCAATCACATTTACCAAAGAAGAGCAATCAATAGCCGTGAGGTGACAAAAATTAAAATTTACAAAATCAAATTTAATTTGTTGAAGTTTTCCTGTGTTACAAACTTCATGGGATTATTTTCGTTTATACTTGTAATTAATGTCAACGTAAAATCTCGTTCGTCTCTAGGCGGCCAGCTGGTCACTTTCCTTGGCTCGTCATTCTCTGTCCACTGTTCGTTGTAGTATTCGCTTTCTTTCTCTTCAGTTTGCACAGGAAGAAGGTCAGGGATAACTTCGCTTGGTAGGTGATGTGTATCCTCCATCAGTCCTGCAAGAAACTGAAAAACCAGCTGCCATTTGCCTTTTTTGAAGTTCTCGGAGACAAAGTTTCTTAACTCTGTTTCACTCATGTTTGTTAGGTGCCTTGCAGCGAAAAACTCCTGCACTGTAAGATGAATGAAACAGAACTGTCCTTCTCCATTAAGTAGGTCAAGTTCACGGTCGGGTAAGCGGTGAAATAGAGCGCCGTCTTCCATTCCGCGTACTTCGTTTCCTGCATAGATTAGCCTTCCTTCCGTAATTCCCTCGAATGCCATTTTTTCCAGTTTCTGGAGTTTCTTTTCCTCTTCAGGGGGCAAATAATCTGATTCAAAGTCTTTGCGAGTGAAATGTTTATTGCGAAATTCTTCGTTGTGTCTCAAGTAGAACATTTCCACGGCTTTCTTGTATATGTCTGCTAATCTTGTTGGTAGGCTAAGACTTTTAGAACCATAGTTCTTCACCATTCGAAAGAGACTTGAGCAAATGATGAAGCAATACGCAGGAATGTAGCATAGAGTTAAGATATTGATGTTGCTGGTGATTTGTCGCCTTACTGTTTCGCCTGCTTCCTTGTCTTCTCCAGCAAATTTGGTTACGTATTCTTCGACTTGTTCGCATGAGAAGCCAAGGACCTCGTAGACTTTGTCAAAAGGAATACTTTCGATGCATGACAGAGCTGTAGATCTTGTAGTAGTCATAACAGCAGCTCCGTTAAGAAGTTTCCCAGTCGCAAGCTTGGCATAAAGGGCGGAGAGCGGCATCTTCTCGTCTACGCTGTTTCTGAATTGAGGTTCATTATCTTCCGTGCTGACCTTTGAGTTAAATTTGATTCCATCGAAAATAAGTAGAACTCTCTGGGGGTTTTCAAGGATGTAATTCCAGACTTCCTCATCCAGCTGATTGCTGAAAGAGTAAGTGGAGCGAACCAGTAGCTCCTTGAGGCTAAGGTCGGTTGATGTGTTTAATGTTCCGTATTCGACGAAGAAAGCAGCATCAAAGTGGATTTTGTTATCGGGTGTTTTATGGAATACTCTGCTAGATGCCCAGTCTCTGAGAATTTTTGTACACCAAAGTGTCTTTCCGATTCCGGGACGACCGACAATCAAAACGTTTTGGTTTTCGTGATTAAGAATGTCCTCTAGCTCTCTCGGTCTTTCGTTTTTCTCAACCGACCTGGTGTAAATTTCCAAATTCTTCCGTCTGTCTTCAGTAAAGTCATTATCAGTCATGCCAGGTACAACAACAAGGTTTGTGTAAATCTGATCCAGAGTCAAATGTTTAGGTGGGTGTCCTTTGCCAGGAGGACTTGAACAAAGCGACTGGAGTTGTGGAAGTTGATAAGTGTCGTCTATAATCATTTTCTTTGTATTCAGGATAAATTCTTGAAGTGGTTTTAGGAGTTGTTCAGGCCCGCTTGGCAGATGTGGGATGTTTGTCTCATGGTCTTTACTTTCCTCAACCGGGTGAAGTTCTTGTGGGATGTTTGTTTCAGGTTCTGTTCTTTCTTGCTGCTGAATTCCATGCGGGATGTTTAAAAGTCGTGTTCTTTCTTGCTGCACAGATTCTTCGGGAGGATTTAGATGAGATGTTTGAAACTTCTGCATGAAACCCCTTTTTCTGCATGCCCGAAAAGAAATGTAGACGATTTCAATCAGATTGACGGTGACAAAAATCCCATTCACTACAAGCACAGCGTCCATCCAGGAGGTTTTCTTTGCCGCTTGTCGATTGTGACAGTCGTGTAAAGTAGAGTGTTGGGCGTTGTCAGATGAATTCCTTGGCTGAGTGGTTTCATCGGTTAAATTACAGTTAAACTTAGACGGAAACTTCAAAGGATAAAGCAACTGAGTTTGTAGGATGATGAAAATAATTCCTAAAACAAGTCTTGTAGATAGTTGACAGCAGTAAGCGATAAAAAGCTTGTATCCCGTTGATAATGCGTTCTCTTGTCTCTCTGGATCACCGTTACGAATGCTTCGAGATAGTCGATTGACTGTTGGTCTTAATATTTGGGAGTAGATAACACACACAAATATAATAAGTACGAAATTCAGGATCACGAAGCCGTAGACAGGAAAACCGAATTTGTTGTACTGCTCCTCGTATTTCTCGTAACATTCTTTCCGGACGACGTCGATGTTTCACTTTTCGCTACGCCACAGCGGAAATCAAGCCTGGACTCGCTGCTTTCCATGTCGGCGAATACAGCAAGGAAGATGACACCAAGCAGTATCCAAAAAACCACTGCCAAACAGCGAATTTTACTGAAAGTTTTTGGCTCCATCTAATCTATAAGTTGTTCCACTGAAATTTTTGGTGATTCTGTTATTTTCGTTTGAATACTGATTTTCTTTGGTTCAAATGAACTGCTAATTCGATCATACTATATTTAATGAGATACAGAACTTTCGTTTGATTGGCTCTTTGAAAACTTTCTATTGTCAAAAAGGCGATGACTTATGCAACGTTTACTTGTCTGCATAAGAGTTTACACTACTAAATTAAGACCAATGCAGATATGTGTTGTTTCAGAAGATGTGCTTGACCTCCATTCATCCACCTGCCCCCCTCTGTGCTCATTTCCACACTCTTACCCTTCTCCTTTCCTATTAAAATTCAGTGCGGAAGCCCTGTAGACCTAATTTAACTTCAGCTCTCAAACCCAAAGAGCTGATGTTGGTCATTTTGCAGCTTGAAGCCTGCTAAATTCGAAGCAACGAAGTACTGATCGCCATTTTTCTGTGGTATTTACTTCAAAAGTGATTTGTATTTCCTACTTAGAAGCTAAAACACCAGGGTGTGATATCTACATACATAAATACATACACTCACTTAATTGAGCATCCCTAAAAAGGGCCTCTCAGCGTCAATATTAAAAAGAAAATTATACAGATAAATGAAACTATGTTAAAACTATCTACAAGGATGACTAACTGATAGCTTTATACAATGATTATCATCTAACCTAGTTCATGTCACAAGTCAGTTCTTTGATTAAATGTCTCTTAAAAGCTATAGTATTTGTTATTTCCCTTAGGTCTTTGCTTAAGTTATTCCATATTTTCACGCCACGGTAACAAAAGGCGCGTTGGACAGCAGTGATTCTATTATATGGAATATTGAGGCTGTTTCTATATCTTGTCTGCCTGTTGTGAATAGTAGCTCGAGCTGAAAATTTGTCCGACAAGTAGCTAGGTGACAGTCCTCCAAGACATCTATGCATCATAACTGCATCATGACCATAAGTATTTGTTTGACATTTAGCCATCGAAGTGATCTCAGACCTGCAGAGATATGGTCATATTTGCAAAGCCCTAAGATAATCCTGGCTTAATCTGGATTCATAAGCAGTGAATTGTGACAGCACCACTGGCAAATTTCACTTAAATTGGAGTTAACTGCGGAGACTGCGTTACACAATTCATTAGTTTTAAATTTCAAGTAGAGTTTAGAGTCATCAACATAACAGAGTTTAGGCACTGTTAACAAATCATTTACGTAAACAGTGAACAGAACAGGGCCAAGAATGGATCCCTGTGGAACGCTATAATAAACTGGAAGAGACTGTGAGACTAAATCCCCGATACGAACGCTTTGAGGTAGCTTTTGAATCATGCTAATGCTGATGGTGACACACCAAGGCTGCGAAGTTTCAGTAGCAACATGTCACGGTTTATACTGTCAAAGGCTTTTGACATGTCCATCAACAGCAGTATTGAAATTTTCTTTTCATCCATAGCTTTTAATAATCCATTAGTGACACTCAGGAGAGCCGTTTCAGTGAAGTGATATTTACGATTGCCACTTTGAAGTTGTGATAGCTTGTTGTCATCGTCCAAGAACGTGACAGATTGTTTGTGAGCCAACCTTTCGTTTACTTTGGAGACTGATACCGGTAGCGGTGATATTGGCTGATTGTTACATGGGTTTCCAACATCTCCATCTTTAGGAACACAAATTACTTCTGCGGTTTTCCACACACGTGCAAGCGTCTTAGATCTGAAAGAATTATTCATTAGAGACGTGATTATATGCAAAGTAGCCAGTAAACTATCCTTAAGTACTCTTGATGGAATTTTGTTAAAGCCGAGTGCTTTGTTAGAAGGCAAATTTAGGATAACATTCGCCACATCCTTCTCTGTTACAGGCTGGAATTCAAACTGCTCACACTGTACAGGAACGTTAGAGGTTGCAAAGACGTTTGGATCCAAAGCCCAATTTTGGTCTTTGGCCAACTGGTTAGCTTTAAGAGCTGTTAATCATCCAACTGATGTGAAATACTTATTAAAACTGTTGGCCACATTCTTATGACTATCATTGAACTGTGGTAGGCTGGAAGATTTTTTCGGCAAACATCGATTAATCACCTTCCATATGGAGTTTGTGTTACCTTTGCTTTCCATAATCTGCGATTTCACAAAACTCCTTTCAGTCAGTGTTGAAATTATTGTGATGCAGGTCAAAGACTTCTTTTTTTAAGGCCAGTGGGAGACATGATGAAAGAAACACTTAGTTCATAGACTCTGTAAGGTTGGATAATATAATGACGAGGCAAGAATTTCCGCGTCAAGCTAAACTTTGAATCGTCAAAAACCGCCCAGAAATAAATCCCCCAAAATGGTGCGCATTAACTATCACTTGCTTAGATTGGTAGCGATAAGATTTCAAACTATATAAATTATTTTTGCCGCCTCATTTAGTTGTAGCTCTTCGAGTTGCCAAAAATTTCCGCAGCATGTTAAGAGCACGCGGCGCCAAATCCCTTTGGCTGGACGTCATTAGTTGTTCAAGGGGTTAAGAGGGAAACTGCAATTAACTGTTTATTTGGCGCCAGATTGATGCTTAGCTGGAGGATAAGAGAGCATTACGACAAAGATAGTGACAATAGCAGAGATAACTAATGACGTTATGAAATTTCTGTTCCACCTCGGGATTTAGACAATCAACGTTCGATTCCCATTAAATGTGATAACTAAAAAGTATACGAATGGAGGGCAGTTTGCTTCAATCTTTGCGGTTTAGATGGCTAAACAATGTTTTCACAAAACTAAACAATTTCAAGAGACTTTCGAAATGAACAACAAAGCACTTAATCATAATGCTTCCGATCAACTGAAACAACCTCTGACTGCGTTAGCCAAAACAAAAACTTTCATGTGGGTCCAAAGCAAGGTCAGTAGATAAATTAAACACGTCCACTTAAGGAAGTTAGACAAGGCTTTCATAACTCGAAAACCCATCACAACAGCTCAAACCTAAATAACTTCCGAATTCGAAATCATACAAAAGCGGTGGTTCAAAACAAAAACAAACGGCTGCGTTGCATCAAGGCTGGAAATAGGCTTTAAGGTACATTCTAATTATAAACGAAAGATTAAATCATCCTGAACTGACAACTAAATGACTAACTAATCATAGACTAACTAAATAATTCATAACAGAAGGATCCAGAAACAACAAGTCCATTCACCAGTCTCTTTGATCCTCAGTCAAATAAAAATCATAGCTTTGATCACATTCTGCTGTTTTTCAAAGAAAAAAATACCGTATTTTTTCGATTTAACGTCGCCCTCGAAGAAACGCCGCACTTTAGAGCAGAAACATTAATAAACGCCGCCCTCGAATAAATGCCGCAGATTTTTCAGACAAGCACTAAAACATGTTTCTTTTCTTTTTTTTTTAATTAAAATGGTCAGTTACCATACTATTGTTTGGAAGAAATAAATTGGATTTTAAATAAACACCGCCCTCGTAAGAACGCCGTCCTCGAATAAACGCCGCACTCGAATCACGAAAAATTTAATAAACGCCGCGGTATTTAATCGAATAAATACGGCAAGCGCTCTGTTTCGAATAGCCTTGTACGCTAAATCAAATCATTACGGATCGTTAATCGGATCCTAGCTTGTGATTGCGCAAAGATTTGTGGGATTGCCATGGGGCCAACGTTGTAAGTTGTTCGAAGGAAATATATGGCGAAAGGTTGTTTCGACGTCCAAAAAAAAACGATTTTCGAGTAAGATCAACAATTTTCGCTGCAGTTTTTTTCTTTGTAAATGGATTAAGATAGTGTGGATACTACAGGCCAACCACACTATCAAATGGAGGTTAATAATTGTTGACATGAAAATTGAAAAAATCTGAAAATTGCATATCTAATTAATTACGTCTCGGTCAGAGTATCTCATTTAAGTTAAATGAAATGTTAATCGACGAATGTTTGATGTTTTTTTTTTAGCCTTTTTTCACTAAATTACCTTTGGCCTCAATGATAGTTTTGGTATTTTTATGTTTTCCTTCGAATGCTGACCAGTTTTCAAACTTGAATGCACAGCTAATACGATTTTGGTATATGATATAACTTGATTGGTTTTTTGGAAACTTTCAACTTAAAAAGACATTGGATTCTTTTTGCATTCCATTGTCTATTTATCTACATACGAAATTGAGACGGATACAGATATCTGCATATGTGGCAAAATACGGGACCTCGTTTCTTCCCACCCCTCCCTCCCGTGCTTATGTTCACCCCTTCTTTTTGTTATTTTCTATTCAAGTCGCTGCTGAGGCCATGAAGAGAAACTCATTACAACAATGTAGCTTATTTTGAAGGTTGAAGACTGCTAAATTCTGAGTTGCTAGGTGTGGACATTTCATTAGGGTGGTAATTCTTTGGGAAGGAAATGATAACCCTTGGCTGATTCAAGTCATGATTGGTTGAGGTTTTGCGTCTGATTATTTACGAGGGTAATGTAAGTTTCCCAAACTAATCCCAAAGCAAAGAAAGGAAAACTAATGCAAACCAAGTAATTCTCGACTGTGTCGTAAAAATACGGCTCTGTTTCGATTAAAGTTCTCATCTCATCACGATCGTGTTTGGTGTCAGTGACAAGAACTACGCTGTCACATCCTTTGTCGAGTTGGAGATTTGTGATTATCATTATTCCCGTTGTTATTACGCATACAGACTACAGATTTAGACTAAGGGCACTCCCTCCTTGACGTCGAATTACGTCGCGCGAGTACAAAAATTTAGCGTGGAAAAGAAAATTGATATTAGCGCGCCGTCTGGAGCTTTTGGTGTGAGGCGCTCGAAAAGTAGGAACGACAGACTAAGCCCAAGAGTTTGACTTCTGCGTTGCGTTAAGCCCAAGAGTTTGACTTCTGCGTTGCGTTCACAACGCAAAAATATGATCGATTATCGCGCTCCGGTTTTAGGAAGAAAATTTCCCAGATTACACCCACCGACCGTTAATAACCTGCATCAACCAAAGAAAATCATGGAACAAAGCTCTGGTGTTCACAAATTTGGAGTCAAATTAAGGGCAGTGTGCTTTCCTTCTTCGGAGACTGTTTTGTTCATTTATGTCATCGGACTCATCGGCCATGTGAGTTCATTTGTAAACAAAACATTACATCGATGATACTCTAGCTCGTGCTATCTAATTAGTTAGCGATTTCTTCCCCAAAACATGTGTCGGGTTCTATTCGTAGTCCTACTAGATTTTTAGAGCGATTTCATAACAATGAGGCATGACCTTTGTTGTTTAGCTCGCTACTGGCGAGTTATCCAACGTCACGATCAAGCTAATGACAATTACGTAGTTGACGGGGATATTTTTCACGCGGTCAATCTCGATTAAACAAAATACAAGTGTAGACCACAGAATTTGAATTCTTTGTACACAATAAAAACAGGAGAGAAACAATATCAACAACTTTCTAAGAAGTGCTACTAACAGGACCACTTGAAACAAATAACTCATAATCAAGCCAAGAGACAATGGGTGGTTTCTTAAATTATGATTCGCATCAGCAACAAAAGTAGTAGACCATTCTATTTAGGTGGCGGGTCCGACAACTCACAAAAATTACATGTATTTCGACATTTATCACGCTGAGGACGCGTAAGAGAAGTGTAAGAGATTGGGAATCTAGATGACAATGTTTCATACATTTTGTAACCTCTGATTAGTAAAGTTCTCTAACTTCTTGGAGATTTTAACGAAAAAAGAAAGTATAGTAACTAATTGTCATCCCGGTACAATTGTCCGTAAAGGAAAAGTTACATCCTTGATGCGATCATGATCTTTCACTTGTATTTAAGCACCTCTCAGGCGTTGCCCTCAGAAATGTGAACACGATCTTTCAACATCCATCAAGTCGTCAAGAATCTGGAAGTTACAAAAGTAGGTAGTGTTCTGTTTTTACTTAATCTGAAGTGATGTATATACTAAGCGAAAAAAGCAAACGTTGCGGTGTTACAAACCATCATATCATTTGCTCAAGTGCGATTTCAGTGAACAGACGTGTTAAGTGACCATTTATCTCGTAGGTACTGATAATTATCTCGTACTAATTTCAAAAGTAACCCATCAAGAGTACGACCGATAAAATTTCACTGAGAAAAAGTATTGAGGTGGGTGAATATATAAGCCGATTCATAATCTCCGTTCCCACTAAAATTGTCAGCGAGTTCAAGCCAGCTTCACTTTGAAGTATAAAAGCTAGCTTCGAACGACACTTGAGCTATTCTGCTAGGATGATAATGTCCGCGCACATTTTCGTTGAAGTTATTTCTACATATGCCTCAGTAACAAATTTAGAATATCTGCATGGTATCATTACACTATTTCACCATTTGACCACATTGGGGCAACAGAACACGCAAACTACGCGGTAGTATTAGACAGCAAAACGCAGGGAAAATACGGTGAGCGGAATCACAAAGCGGCCACACTGAACAAACCAACCTTTAATTTGTTAACGTCGTAAAGGCTTGACTTTTAGTGAAGACTTTTTTACTGAAACGATTTTTTGTTTGTTTGCAATCACACCTCGTGTCATCAAACCTCGTGTATCTGCGTGTGTTATCTTTGTTTTACTCTCAACTGAATGATTTTATAGAAGATGCTTAATATACCTGAGCTGGCGTGGTGCCGATTTTCTTTGCAACCTCAAGTTTTTCCATTGTGCCAAGCTGCAGAAATTTGCTGAGTAACTCTCCATCCAATATGTTTCTGTGAGGATTGTTCAAGCTTCGTTTCTTACCTCGTACAAGTCTAAACAAGAACAATGAAACGACTTATTAAACACGCAAGGACTGAACCTCTGAACTGCGTCATTGTCAAAAACAAGCGATGATATTTTCCACGGCATTGTATACGAATAATAAATTGGGAAACATGATTTATAAATAAAACTGAATCCTATTTCTTCAGGAAAGCCTTTCACCAGTCATGACTGCTGAATATTCAAGAATTACTAACTGTTCTGGAACTGACTTTAGCGAACAGCGAACAGCACATTCAAGTGCACAATCGCAACCCTTAAACTTGTTGAATACCAAGGTATATAACCGAAAACAATAAGATTAAAATATCAACCGACCTGAAAGCCTTTGGATTAAGACCAGCGACGTGTGGAATGCATTCGACAAGTTTGGTTTGCAGCATGTGTAGTCGTCTGTATGTTTTCTCAGTCATAGGTAATAACAGTCCAAGCCCACCATCCAGTGTGCCTGAACAACAGCAATCATCAATCATCATCACTGAATTCTAATTTATTAATTAAATACTTGTAAAAGCGTTTCTGATGGTGAATATGGTAATACCACGGCAATTTACCATGTGAACAGACATTTCTGCGCGAGCATCTTTTCAACAAAAACAACAAAATTTCTTCCAGAATTCAGTGTTCTTGGTCGTGGATCTTAAGATCCGATCAACTCTAAAACTTGCTTTGAACCAACACTTTAGCCCAGTAAAATAAGAATGTAAACTTACCGAAACAAGTCAGCTGTCTCAAGTCTTTACCGCCAACTTTTCCTGTTGTTCTTGCACGGATCCTGAAGAATGAAGTAATATGGCTTCCTATGTTAATATCCGCTCGCTGAAGAAGTCGCTGACCACCGAAGCTTTCAACAGCTAAAAATAAAAGAACAAAGCCCGTGATATTTCAAAGAAGTTTAACCGGAAGCATAAAACTTCAATAGATATTGGCTGCGTCATTGTCTTACCTTCTGGTTGATAAGTGAGTAAAAGCAAGTTTTGATCACCATCTGATACTGTAAAAGTAATTACGATCGTTAGTCTGACAAAGGTACAAAAATGAGAAACAACACAACAGTCATTGGCAGTTAATTGAATTCAAATGGCTTCCCGTAACATATTTTAGACGACACGACTGACTCAAATGGAAAAGGACATCGTATCTTTGAATAAAACTGAATACAATGAAACCACGTTGAATTTAAATAACACTCCATTAACGATCACAAGTATTTAAAACAATATTTCATCAACTTATACACAGCTAGAGGTTGAAGTAGTCAAAATTCGCAAAAAAAAAAAAGCTTCATCGATTAGTTCAGGTTGGCTTTCAATTCCTTTAGCTCAAATCATTACCTTCCATGATGCACCTTGAATAAGACTAGGTATTTTTCGATCAGCCCCCTTGGCCACGAATTGAAATGGAAGTCTTTGATGAACGAGACTTGTAATGGAAAAATTGCTGAGTGCAAGTGATTAAACAATTGTCCTCTGATGAGTTTAATTTGACTCATATCCTTACTAATAATCTTCAAAGTGTACAAGCGAAAAAAAATTGAAAAAAGAGAGAGAAAGAGAAAGAAGAAGATACATTACCAAGAAATCCCAGTTGTGGACCATCAATAACAAAATCGGCTGAATACACTTCTAATGGTTTTGGATCCTGAACAAAAAAGTAAATACTTCGTGAACTCGAGTAAATAAAGGAAAGGAAATGAAAGACAAGGAAATAAACTTTAAAGGTCAACTAGTGGGAGGAGAACGCTCTGCGGCAGGATGTAAGGTATTCAAAATTGTAATTTGTTGATAGCAATGTTATTTCTTGGTTTCGGGAGTTTTTGGAATCCTCTGAAACTTCCTTAAATTTATGCTTGGTTGTTGAGTATGACAATTCGTCGTGATATTTTAGTGAAAAAAATCGTCCCAAATTTCCCATTTTTTTTCTATTATTGCCAAGAAATCACGTCACGCGAGTGTAATAAATATTGAGGCGTGCGTGAGGAACCCATTTCAGTGTCGTGAGGTAAATTTTAAGCAAGTCGCAGGCTGCAAAAGTGAGACGGCAATAAATGCGTTGTTGACCGAGCCTGAGGTCAAGATGGCTAGATATTGGCCGAGTTCTTTTCTTCCTTTTTTATGAAGCGAGACGATGTTGAGGTCTATAAAAACGCGAAAAAAGAACGAGGCCATTGAATAACTTTGAAAAAGGTTACTGACCTTGCTAACGAATGCCAGAGTCTTCGTTTCCTCCTAGATATCAAACAAACAAAAATAACATTCAACTGCACACATAGGAATTCTATCGTAGGGTTTCTATGAGATCTAGCACGTAAAAAGAATTAAGGGTTACCTTCATTTACTTCATACCTACTGAAATGAAACTTTGACTTTACCTGTAATCGAAGGAGAGTGATGCTCTTGCATAAATCAGCTGCAATAATCAGAGTCTTGATGGACATTAATGAATGAATGTACATTTGCGTGTCAATAAATGCCATTCCCACCAAATCATTGCTATCTTTGAAATTCCAGATGTAAATCTGTTTATTTTGACCAAACAAACAGAAATTTTAGTATGACATCTTTACGGAGTCCTATGTGCTGTAACTTACAGAGATGCTACAGACCATGTAGAGATTTCTGAGATTTTTCCCATTCTGTTCCGAGCTATGAAGTTACATGAAATGAATATGACATGCCATGTTTTTTTTAATGAATGAGACAGATGAAGGCCAACATACCTTCTGTCCTATGGCGCTTACAAGGTAACCGTTGACTTGAGTCAGAGCACTCACTGGACCTTTCTGTTCCTTACCGTACAACATCTAAAAACAAACAAAAAGAGAAATTTGGAGCAGATCACAATAAGTACAGCTTCTGTGGTAACATTTCTTGTTGGATGTGTCAATGATCCGCGAATGGCAAAGACGTGGCTCGATGAATTGCAGTTTAACATTTAACAACTTTATCTTAATTCTACTTTTAAGTTTATGCGCAGTTCATTGAAATGGTTGCCATAGCCATAAAATTTTGAAATTCCCTGACTTTTCCCGGAGAAAAGTTAACAATCTCAGGAGCGCGAGTTTGATTTGTTAATCACGAGGATGACTAATGACCCAATTGGACGACGATGACCTGTTACCAATTAATAAAAACCATTACAATTTCCAATAAAAACAAATTTATATATCGATAGAATATTAAAACTGTTAAACTGTAACAATCTGCTGTAAAAAGTGTAATGAAAAGGTCTAGAAACAGCTATTGGACATTGTTAAAAGTGTTTCAATCTGTAATTGGTAGATTCATTTGAGGATACTCAGTGTGATTGGCTGATGCATTTGTTCGCTTTAAGGTGTCTGATTACAACTCTACCAAACAATTTGTGAAAAATAAAGCAATACATCCATCCACCAATCGCAATAGAAGAAATTGTGATGGTTATAATTGGGCCTCACACGCATCTTCTCCACTCACTCATTCATGGTTTAAGCAGGTCACACTCAGTTTACATGAACGAATACTCTTGACATAACAAGAAAAAGGATTGAGTTTTTCTCAAACATTATTCTATAATTTAATTCATAAACTAACTTGAACTTCCATTGCAAGGAGAATCAACATGCTTGTCTGCAATCTATCAATTGTAGTGCTAAACAGTGTACATCGACATAACAAAATCCTCGCTGTTACCTTAAACTTATTCTTGGTCAATGGCTGGCCCGGCTCGGGGACAACTTCAATGATATCAAATATCAAAATCTGTTTGGAAAAAAAATTGTTTTTAAAAACAGTAACACCAAATGTGAAGAAGGTCGATCCTTGTTCAAGTCGTGACATCATAATCACCTCCTTCGACCAAAAAGTCAATCGGAAATTTTCATTCTAAGGTAATACGCATATATCTTGTCAAGGAGATTTTAAAAAACACATCGTAAAAGCGTTAAGGAAGTTGAGTGGATAAATGAGAAGAAAATTCTCGCCACAAAATCTTTAATTTGTGTCAAGAAGAAGTTAAGCTCAACCTCAAAAAATTAGTTAATTAGAGAGCAAAGATAATTTTGAAAGTCAGTGAACAATTCTTAGAGGAACTCTGATATTATCAAGAGATTTGAAAGAATTATTGAGTGGAAATTCTATAAAAATTGCTTGGATGCCGGTTATATGACAATGCGTTTTTTTGTTTTTGTTTTTGCAATATGTCAACCCATCAGAGAAACCTACCCGTCCCCTGCAGGTAATATCTTCACCGTACACATGAGTTGTGCCAACACAAATAAAACCCTTGTGACCTGCATGAGTCTCCTGACTTGCTAGCATAAGATTCTTGCAGGTGGTGACATGTTCCCAGTCCTCCATCTCAATTCTGAAACAAGGTCAATCGTTGAATAAGAAAGTGGATGACTATACAAAAAAGAAAAGAAATGTTTTCACCCCATGTATCAAAATTTCATTAGATCCATTGGTTGTAGGCTGCTTTTATGTACAATCGAAATGAATTTTTCAACACCATGAATTCTCGATTTTTCTTTGGATTACTTTTCCTTTTTTCTTCAAACTGGTCAGACCATTGAACCAATCGTGCATCATATGGTCAGTTCGAATGTTGATGTGAAAATTTTTGTCATGAAGTAAATGAAGACAGTAGGTTTGAGGCCTGCTGATTAAGTTCATATGAAATTGGAAATATTTTACTAAGTCAATAATTATGCAAGAAAAAACAAGAAACAAAAAACAGAAAAAAACCGAGAATGGAAACAGATCTTCATTTCTTACTAACCGTGTGCCTGGTATAATCTCCCAACTAACTGGTGAGATAAGCTGTAGGCTGAATCGGTCAATAATTGGATATACAAATCTTGAATCTACAATGAAATTGGACAACTTAGTTTTGTAATTAGACAGGTTCTATTATTTAATTTTTTACTCGATATTCATGAACTGAAAGTATAATCATATTATCACAGTGGAACATTCTCAAATACGATTGAGGGAACCTCGAATTAAATAATGAAAATTTGAAGGCCTGCCGAGGGATGCAGTTCTCGCTTACCTCTATCGATATCTTCAGCTTCATGATCCTCAGTGTTCAATTTGACCACTCTCTTAGTTTGTTCTGACAAGCTTGTGACAACTGCATATGTCTGACACAACAGCAATGACATAATCAATATACAAGGAATAATGCTTTTTTTCGCTAAGCCTCCTACCTACCCCTCCCCCCGTTCATTTTCTGCAGCCACACTTGGGGAACGCCACTTATGAGGAATCATTGAAGACGGAAATTAAGAACCTTTGGTTACATAAACTTCAAAATTCCATCAAATTTGTTAATTTTGCATCGTATTGTGGTCCTCCTGTGTTTTTTGCTTATGACAGAGATGTCAATGTGATCGGTGGAATCGTTGTTTTCACTTTTCGAATTTTGAATGTTGGGTGGTGTATCACATTTATGAGTCTTCAGACGTCAAGCTTGCAATGATTGTCTTTCAGTCGTGATCTCAAAATGTGAGAAGTTTTCAGCTACTCTGACAACTGAAGAAAAAAGCTCACTACAACTAACAAACTGACACTGGTGGTATATCTTTGAAATGTGACCCGCAGTACCTTGCTTTCTCTGTTGTAAGTCACAAAATGAGGAGTGCATCTCAGAGGAACCTTCCTTACAGGCCACGGGGCATCGTAACTAAGATGGGTTGGGAGAACTGAAATTCTTAACTCCCCCTGTAAAGGAAACAATGAAACACGAATTCAAAAAAGTAAACTTAAAAGGTCTCAGTTTTGCACAGCACTTTACCACAACGGTTCTGAAAAGTGACTTCCCAGTTTTACAGGGTAATTTAGTATTATTACCTGAGTTGATGGCGTAAATTGGCCACCGTAAAGAGTTTGAAAGCTGACGTTTCGAGCTCTGCTAACGTCAGCTTTCAAACTCTTTACGGTGGCCAATTTACGCCATCAACTAAGTTGACAATACAAAAATAACCCTGTTGTACTCTTCCACCGACATAGCACCACAGTTTCTTTAGAAAGTTGCCCCCTAAATTCATTTCCCTTATTTTCCCCTAAGGATCTTGTTGGCTATTTGACCCAGAGAGACCTGATTGTTCTCAAAGGGAAGTATCGTCAACTTGACCGAAGTATTGGTACAAACTTCTTTCCTAGCTCAAATCTACAGCATTACATTTCCTGATGAACATGTAGAACTATAATCTGTGAAGACTGTATACACATGTAAATAGATTAGTCTGGTCTTCTTAGCAAAAGTCGTTTAAGCTCGTTACACAACATGTCTACTTTCCTACCAAGCAACAGGACAAGGGTACAAAGTGTGTTGCGTGACAAGCCTTGTGTGTACCTTCTTGTTGAAGTAAAGAAAACCTTTTGGACAGTTGACATTATGGAAAGGGGCAAAGCAAGTGACAGCGCCATCAATGTTCATCGGATGAGTTCGCAGCGCACCTCTACTAGTAACAAACAGCCAGTAGGGGTAGGAACCACACAAAAACACCTGAAAACACAACATACATCCATGATTATTAAATGACGTTTCCTAACCCACTGAATGTCACTTACATAACTTATTTCACTCAAACAACATCAATCCCATATTATTGAGCATCAAGGCATGTTCAGAGGTGTAATCTACTCACCTTTACCAATGAATGATCAAGTGTAAGTTTGATGAAGAAGTTACTTACCCCTGAATAAGATGAGACATCACTGAAGACACGGAGACTGGACACTTTTGGTTTTGTCCCTGCAACAAAGATCATGAAGGCAAAATTTAATCCACTAAGTGCCCAAAATGCTCCGTAATTAGGGTTTATTATTAAACATTTACCTTGAATACCATCAACCTGCTTTACTTTTTGCTGCTTTGATTTCTTGTCACGCAGAAGCAGATTGTGTTGGACCTGATAAAAAAGAGATATGATTTTAAAGCTATGTTTTAAGCAATTCATCTTCAGTCAATGTTTAATTCCTACCAAAACTGTCTCACACGTGCCACTAAGAATAGATATACCATCCTACTCATAAATGGAGGTTCAAAATACATATACATGCTGCTTTTGCATTTTAGAGAAAATAAGTACGTATACATTCAATCAATTTTATCATAAGCTGCATCATAAACCAAGTACAGTATCTTCAAAATACTTCACTGAATTAAAATATCATTTGAATCAGAATTTATCCACACATTAAAAGCACTAACTGAAGGCTCTCAGAGGAATCTTAATAATTTTTTAAGTTCAATACCAAAAAATATGTTGCAATAAATGTAAAACAAACACTGTCCCCTTCAATTACAAATCTTGCTAGAAAATGTCTCTGGTGCTATTTGAGAAAGTTTTAACTTCTTTACTAGTCAGATACACTGCTATAAAAATCTAGCAAAAGAGCCCTTCTTCTCCTGTTGTATCACATATTAGATATTCTATGACACAAGAAACTGAAACCAACCTTCTTGAACCTCAAGTTAAGGTGACTTTCTACAGAAGCTTCAGTGAAAGTGAATGCTTCATACACCAAAAGTTCCTGTTCCACAAGTGCAATAAGCATAGGTCTGCTGTTTTTGTGCCCTAAGCCTGCTAGTAAGATTTCCCTGACAGGTGAAGAATCCTCCTGACCGACACTGCCTGTGATACTTTCAAAAATAAGTAAAAAAGATTGGAAATTAGATATGACAAAGTCTTCAAAACAATGTTAACTTCCTGGTACCCTTCATGGGAATGTAAAATCCTGATGGAATGAAATGGTGTGCTAGAAACAACCACAGGCCAATATTCAGTTCCTCAGTGAAACCAAACCATGCAAATTTCCACTCTTTGACCCATGAGGTCATAATCAATATTAAACCAAAAGCTAAAAGGGTCCTCTAGGCTGGAGAGGTGCATTGAGGCAGAACACCTTACAGCAAGATACTGGAATTTCTGACCCTACTAATAATTACTGTTTTTCAATTCTCTGAAACATGATTGTTATAATGTTAATTATCTTTTTTTCTGGACTTGTTGATCAGTTATAGCAAATGAATCAAAGCAGATAAGACGATATTTTCTTGAGCAATGATTTGATTCAGTAAAAGCCTGACAAAAAGATAGCACTTTGAAAGGTAATCTTGTATCCACAAAATGCGATCATTCTTTTTAAACTATAATTTGGCTCTTCAAAATAATTGAGAAAAGTCTATTAAACTGCAAGCAAACAACCGAGACAGTTTCCAAATGAGAGCTTTTGTCAAACTCATGTAAACTTCAAAAAACATTACCCGCACAAGTTTTGATAACATTGCAATCACCTCAATTCTTCTATACTTTCAGGATATTTCACATCAGCACAGTTAAATTTTAGAACAAACTGGTGAGTTCTGATAGTTTTCCCTTTGATTCAATGTGATTATCCCTGATGGTACATGAAGCTCTACAACTGAACAATCTGAGACTGCAAGAAGTGTTAGGACTCTAAGAGGCTGCTACAAACAGCTTTTAAAGATAAAACAAATAAACACAACTCCTTGTTTATTTAAATCTCAATAATGCAGATGACCCACAGGCACAAACAGTTCATTACCTTACACCAGAAGCAGACCCACTGTCCACGAGCACTCTTGGAGCCATATTGAAATTCTTAACCAAGAAAACCAACTTGAAATCAGGTAAAGTGTAAATCTCCAAGACACCATTATCACGACAAACAACACACCACCATGTTGGATTCACTGTTTCAGCATTTGATTCCCCAGTGAAAACACTACAAAGACACACAAGAATTTAAGTAAAGAACATTCTTTTCCACATAAACCAATAGACTAGAAACACTGACATGCAGAACAAATAAGTGAATAACAACAAGTACTAAATGGGTGGTGATTTTTTCTCCTGTAGCTTACATTTTCAAAGGAGTGATATCATTGACACCATTTGAGTGAGTACCTTTGACTATAGTCTATAAGATTCTAAAAATTGTCCATAAAATGAGATAAGGGAGGTTAATAAGGATCAGTTTCAAAGAATGTTGTGAATTCAATTAGAACCAGCATAGTTATGGCAATGTGGTACAAAAAATGCTAAAAAAATGTCTTGCAGTGGGGAAAAGGTCTTACATAGGAGCAAGGTTTACAACATGACTAGCACTAAGATGTAAAATAAAAAAAAAAATTAAAAAAAGCCTTCTGCTTTAACTAAGCTTATATCCCTTTTAAAAAGATCAAGATAACATAATGCCAATCAAGTATTAGTTCATTTTCACCATAATTAAATATCTTAAAACTACATTTCAAACACACAGTATTACCAACAAAAAAAATTCCTTACACACAAATTTTAGGCATTAATGGCAGCTTGCGAGAAAAATAATAAATCCACTAGTTAAAAATGGTTTTGAACTAAAAAAGTTCTGACATTTTCCTTAGTAAAAGGAATACCCAGCCTTCTTATGGTGAAATTAATGGAAAACAAGTATTTAAACACCAAAGCCAGCAACTGACCTGTCATTTACATTCTTCTGTTCTTGAGCTTCTTCATCAGACGTAAATGGCAAAGATGATTCTCCATACAACAGTTCATCCTCATCTAACACATCCATACTGAAGATTTAATGAGCAACGATGTAAGAGAACATTTCACACATTTCACAGCATCTTACATCTAGAGATTAATTTATTATCAAACAAATAAATGGCTTGGAAACATAAAAAAAAAGTTTGTAAGTTTCGACTTCCTCACAAGGAAAACAGAATGAGTAATTTTCACAAAAACGTAGTACATGACAATTTGAAAAAAAAGGAACAATTGCAGTCTCTTAAGAATCAATCATTGTAAAGAGTTATCTTTTCTTTCCCCAGAAGGATGCAAACTAACATCAGGAGTAACTAACTTTAAAAAAAAATTTGTAAATAAATAGAAAATAAACAATATCTGGATTTATCATCTTTATCAAAGTAGTACACTATAATCAAGGCAAGGAATAATCTTTGAATTGAAAAGCATTCCATGAGAAGAGCTTAAGAGCTGCAAAAAGGCTGAAAAAAGCATGTTATACTCTGGGTGACCTGCCAAAATCATTTCCAACAGATTCTGCCAAACACAAGCAATCAAAGGGCTCAATCCGCCACTTTTTATAAGAGTCAATTTGACTATTAACTTAAATCATGCATTGGTTGCCATGAATACAATTTAAGCAACTAAAGAAAGGGAAAAAACATAAAGGATGATTTGTGTACCACTTCCTAATATTTTATGTAAATGTTTATCTCAATTTAACATTTGACAACAAACACATGCAGAGTAACAAAAACACAACAACTTGCTACATGAAATCTAAACACTGTTCACTACTAGCAACTTTCAATGGAGTATTAACACCCAAATCTTTTTCTAAATGCCATGGTAATCAAAATGACTGAAACTTTGGGCAGTGCATCAAGCTATAAATAATTTTGATAAAAAGAAATAGAAGAATGGGACATTTCCGTTACCAAAATGATATGCTTTTCCATAAAATATCTCAAAATATGCCTATTGCAAGAGCACAGAAAGAGTTGTTATTCTAGGAAAGCTTACTGTCAGTAGTAATAATTATATAACTACAATGATCTAATACAATTTTGGCTGAAAAAACACCAATACAGTCATAAACCATGTAGACCATTAATAGGTATGAAATGATAACCTAAAAGTACAATTATATGTATAGCATGATACTAAAAAGTAACCTTATTTTTTTAAAATTATTTTGCTCTACCAAATTTGATCTACCTTTTGGGAGTGGTGGGAGTACTGGTTTGACGTTGAACTTTTCTGAGTGACTGGTCCACCTTCTCTGTGGAAAAGATACCACTGACATCTCTATATGCACAGCAGGCACAGACTTTCCCCCCCTAAAAACAGATGTTTGCATATTAAAGGTTGTTTCTGAGTAGTGTAAGTAATAGTCAAATGGAGTCACTTTCACTAACAGCTGATTTAACTATAAGTTATAGAACTGATGTTATCACCACAGACAGTGCATAACTGAAGCATCCCTAATTAAAAGCAATTCAAATAAACAGCTTAGGTACTTATTTGAATTTAACCTTACCAACACAGGATTTAATTAGGTGAAGGAAATGTTGGCCTTCTTGTTATGAATGCTTACTTGGTTTATCTGTGGCCTGGATATCTTCACCTTAGGTTCTGTACCTTCCAATGTAAACTCAAGTAAAATAATGGAACCATCTGCTGTCATCATGACTGCATAAGGATCAGACAGTGAACACCAGACAATTGATGACAAGCCAGCATCCAGTGAAATGTGATACAACTGTGTTACTAAATAAAATACAACCAAACAAAACTTTAACACATTCATAAGCATAATTACCCCTAAGAACAAAGAAAATGATTTTGGTTTTAGAAACAGACAATATAGTCAAAAATCAAACAACTTGATGAAGTAGAGGTCATCCTCACCTCCTTCTAACAAGCTAACACCTTGAGGAGTTACCTAATAAATAGAAAGATAATTATTAATATTTACATTTGAGAGTCAATAGCTTGCAAAGAATTAATTTAATTTCTCTAGCATCTAAATTTGACATCATCATCATCATCATAGAAATTGAAGGTAACTTTTTTTTTAAAGAAACAAAATAAAAATTATAAATAAAGTTATTGCCTCATAAAATCTCTAAAATTATATATAAACCTTAACTTATTGGTAATAAATATAACTAGTGAAAAATATAACTTTCTGTATGAAAAACAAATCCGTAAAACTAGCACCCTTTTTCTTTGATACTTCTTTTAGTCAAATTGTAAATTACATGCAATTATACAAAGTGTGAACATAAACTCTTATTTTGTCTGTCTACTTTCAGCTACTTGTGACCAAACACCTCAAGGTAACAATAACAACCTGCAAGATGTACTTTCCATTCCCAAGATTTCCAGCAAATACAGTGGGGTACTGGGAAGTAAAGCCTGAGTGATCAAGTTCCATAATCTCTTGTTCTGTCTTTAACACCTTCATTGGAGTAAAAATGGTATTTAAATGCCAGATCAAATAAAAAATTACATGCACCAACCATTACAGTAGTCCTAAATACCTGATACAGGCACTACAGCTTAAAAGTGAGAGAAGGAGCTGATGCGTGTCATTTATGGTACTAGTTAAATTAATTTAATATCACAACGTTTTCTTATTGCAATTTGGTGCAATTTTGTCTCTTCTACTGCTCAAGGATGAATGGTTCTCGCAAAACACATCTGAACCGGCCAGTCAGTGTGTCTGAAAAGCAGTATTCACCTGTGTGGTGTACTGATGAACAATATTCCACAGGCTTCTCAGTAAATACCTACCATGCTAGAGTCCTCTCTGCTGAGCAGTAGGAATGAGTGATAGCTGTTGTCACCCTGGGTAAATGTACAAAGCAAAGAAGCAACTATGTTTAGGGAATGTTCCAAGCCAACTATACCCTCCCTCTTGCAATTAATAGCGACTGACTCTTCAGAGTGAAGTCACCCAGGAAATGTTTCAAGGCAAAACTATATTTACTACAGATTTCATACCCTTTTTCAGAATGAATGACTGCCTTGTGTTTCCCAGAGATTAAGAAGATTGCCTTTCATTAATTACAATAGCCAAGACACATCCTTACAAGTTTTTTTGAAAGAAACCATTAATAAAAGCAAGCATTGCAAGTTGTAGAGTCAAAGAAAACTTGTTGGTGAGGGATTGAACAGTTCAGTAAATACACTTGATTGCCAAACTATTGGCAAAAACAGTGTGAACATTGAATAGAGGGAACTTATAGTTCAATTGTACACCAACATTTCACAGTGTAGTAAATCTTGTACTTGTCTGTAGTGAAATTTATTCTCCTGTTTTTAACAGACCTGTTCACCAGACAAAACTGTCCACATGTCAACACAGCCAGGAAGCTCAAATGTTGTCACAACTTGAGGTCTCACACTTCGCTAAAAATAGGAAATAATTTGAATGAACACTAAAAGATTAACATGCTGTAATGACACAGACTCATATCTATATGGATTAACATTTAGATTGGTTACAATTAACACTAACAATAAGAGTAATGAACCAATTCACATCCAAATTTCATATTCAAAATAACAATTCTTCATCATATCACCATGTTAAATTCATTCATATTCAAAATTCAAATATCAAGTTGAGAATTGTTATTCAATCACATCTTTAGCCCATTTTTGTTGTTCAATGCTTTCAAATGATTTTGTTCTACTGCATCTTCTTCAGTAGACATTAGAAATATATTATGATAATAATCGATGTGTTTCTTTTAATAACTCTAAGCAAGTAAAATTTTTCATGTATCCCTAAATTTCTTAAGCTTCCAGTAGAGATATGTATGAACACTTGGGGACTAGTTGGTTAATATTGCTTTCATCTCAGAAAACAAGAAACTAAATTTTATTTCAACAGTCAACTGTCAGAAGTTTATCTTCCAAAGTTTTATTTTAAGAAGGAAATGCAGACTTGCTGAATCTCATACATAAAACTAATAATAAAACAAAAAGACATTTACAACACCTGTAGAACTGATAATGCACCGTTTTTTCCATACCCAGAACACGAAACAAGTTCCAAATCCAGCTCCTTACCACCAGAAAACTGCAGAGCAGTAACAAAATAGCTGCATGAGGTTAAACAGTACACATAAAACACTTGCATACTCTCTACGCGGTAATAAAATAACCATTGTTTTAGAAACAGGGAAATAGTTGTTAAACCATAAGGATTGCATTTTCACTTCTTAAAATAAATTAGAGCAAAACTGAAATCACCATAAACAAAAACTACATGCATGCTAATTTGTAGAATACACATAGATAGAGATGATGAAAATTACAAACCTCTTCCTGTTGACGACAATGAAGAACATGTCAATTCAAAAGCAAAATGAAATTGTTAGTTCTTTGAAAATAAACAAAACTAAAAATGAAATATAAAATAAGTTTTCTGTTAAGTGATTGGAATTGATTGAGTTTAGTTTTCAAACTTCATACCCTGCACCAACTTCTGGAGGTTAATTTGCTATTGAGAGCATAAAGATAAGACTCTTGCACAATTTACAAGCATTAATGATGTAATAATTTCTTCTCCTTTCCATGCACTTTCTGAAACTAAATTTATATTGCTTCATTTGTCTGTCTCATCTCTCTACTATTGCAGGGAGGATAGCAAACAAAATATAGATCATACTATGAAAACTACTTCAGAGACAAAACTCTGATCCCAAAAGCTCACCGAAAGAAATGCAGGCTCTCCCATATCAACACTAGTGCAAGGTCCAATGTTGAGCAAACTGTCGCATACCTGTCAATGAGACAATGGCATCTTAATTAAGGTAGGTACAATATATTTTTTCCTTTACCTGGCAGATTGAAACTAAACATATATGAGTTGGCAATACTTCTCTCAGTGACAATCATTCACTTCCACAGAGTTGACAAGTATGTATGTCAAATATAACAAACTCACTTCAAATGAGTATGATGTGAGCTTCACCCCTGATTGCTCTTCTTTACCATACACTTCCAACTCATCCAGATCATCTGTCAAAGACATAAACAAACATAAATAAATAAATTGTGAAAAGGTGGTGGTTATTTACTGGGTTGAGTACATTGAGAACACTGCCGCAGCTTTCTAAATCACAGAATACTGATACATGCTGTTTTCAAGTCACAGACCATGCTACCATCAGACTTAGTGCAGCTAAAATATGTTATCAAACTGGGATCATATGATAGCCTGGTTTACAGGATTCCTTGTGGATGTGGTTATGTTAACAGCAACAAGAGTGAAAGACCCCATGAAGAACAAAATTAAAGAGCATGACAGAGACATCTGGCTCGCTGAAACACAGTCCAGTGCCATTTCAGTGCACAGCCACATCAGCAGACACAGCCTTCTCTAGAACAAAAGTTAAGTCTCTTGATTCTGAGCCCTGCTGTTACACACGCAGGGTGAGAGAAGTGATTGACGGAAGATTTCAAAGGAATGACAGAAACAAGAGAAACTACAAAGGGGGAACTAAACAATTGTGGACCGCTCATGGAACACATCTTCCAAATGGTCTGATCACTGCTATTGAGTACCAGCCAATCTGGCCAAGCATAATGCATCATTAGGTGATGCATATTCAGTAAACTTCACTGCCTTAAGAAGGCTGGCTGTATGCAATAGAAAATTTCCATCCACATAGGAAGTGACAACACCACAGGAAAAATGATAATACTCATATTTCATGCCTACCTTTTTCTACCTTAGCTTTAGTCATTTAATACAAAATATTTATGATCAAGCAAATTAATGAGGTGTCAAAATGCTGATACCTTCAGATAAGCTGTGCACCTAACTCTTACCCCATTTTTTCCAAATATATAAAACTGCATTCCATCCTCAAGTTAATATGGTAGTTTTGCTTGTATTAGTATATTATTGTCAGTAGTAGTGGAAAAAAATGAAAAATATATTATCCTATACAGACCTAAAGCATATGTGTAATCTGTGTCCAGTCTTCTTCTTTTGGCTTGTGGGGGGTCCATCTAAAAAAACATACCACTCTGTTCATTCTCTCATATAGAAGGCATAGCTTGAGTAGTAAGTACCAAAATACTAAGTTATATCACCACACAGCCTAATGAAGAAACGATAGTCTGAACTTTGTTATGTAAACGTAAATATTACTCTGTTCTCTTGTCAAGTTTAAAATAAGATTTATTTCACCAGTACTCTGTTAGGTAATTGCATGTATTTAGTGCTTACTGATTTCTTCAAAGCTACTGAGTTCAGTTTCCTGTCATTTTGTGCACTTAGGCTCTGAAGTGTCTATTCATTTATACAGGATCTAGTTAAATTTGCAGGCATGCTATGTTACAGCAATTTTTTCCAATTATCTAGATTTTTGCAAGGAATTTTATCCTCAACTTGATGCATGCAAACATAAAGTGTGTATGTAGAACATCAAGTAGTTTCCATGAGTACATATTGCACCATGTTTTAGTAAAGTAGAGGTTTTGTATTCATTAGAAGAGTTAATCAGCTGTAATAATGCACATGAAAAGGTTACACCAATCTGATTGGCTGAAAACAAGCATTCTCATGTAACATGACAGCAAAGTTGTAACACGAGAGCAAATTACAAATAGCGTATGCAAGCTTTCAAAATTTAGCTTGAGTTTCTGCAATGGTTTTTCATGTAAATTATTGACAAGTTATAACATGATTTCTCTTGCAATTTGTTGTAATAAGCACTTGTAAATTTTTCAAAGACTACAAATTTTGTCGCCTTAGAGAAATTTGCTCATGCTTTTTTACACCAAATTGCACTCAAAATCATGTTATTACCAATACTTAATTACTATGAGTAAGGCTTAACAGACTTGAATTGAAGGCATCAGAAACTTACTCCTGGTGAGAACAAATCTGGTTCTGTACCTAACAAAGAGCAAAGAAAGGACCATGAAATGTTAAGTTATACAGAAATATGGTATTCTAGCTGCTTGATTGGATGATTGCTGGAGGGCTTCATGCTACCCATCTGCAGTTTTTTTTTTTTTAATTTCTACTGCTCTGAAGCTGATATTGGGCAAGGTATGTTACAAATAGTATGTTACTGGAGAACCTTTTGAAGTGTATCTAATACTGCCCATACATAAAATATCTTTATCAGGTACTGGTTAAACCATTATGAGAGATCTGTTTGGATTAATTGCCCTTGAAAATGTTGTCATTTCTTGATGTGGAATAAGGCACAAATCAAAAGTACCCTTGATATCAAATGCAACAGTACTTTATCAATTAGTTTGTGTACTGAAAATGGTTCTTAATTCAACCTTAGGCTAGTGGTTTTTTATTAACTACAACATCCTAACGTAATCCAATTTGGATACCATTATTTTTCTTCAAGAGGAACAAGAGAGAGTAGAAATGTCTTCATTCAGAAAACATCTACAATTGATTCAATTGTCTTTTCATTACCTAGTTCCTCCTTTTCAGTGTATTTGACAAGGATTGAGTTGCCAAGTCGAGATCCAAGAAATAAATACCCATTTCCACACTCACAAACCTGAAGGAAATACACACAAAAACAGCTATAAGACCTACAGAAAGTATGATAGTAAAAATAAGTTTCATGAAGGAAAACTAAGTAAGGTATCATAGTAGGAGAGATTTGCTGCAAAATATCAAAAAACGTTCTTCAGATGACTGAGGTAAATATTTCCAGAATGAAGAATACAACAACTGACTTAACTATAAAGTTGTAGCAACAAAAACAACTTTTTACAGATCAGTTCATGTGTCTCAAAATATTCCTGTGCCACTGATGAAAACTATCCAAAAGTTGTGATATGGTAAGTAAAAAAGGAATAGACAGGAGAAAAAGAAGGCACAACAACTTTTTCTGGTCTTTGTCCCAAAGCAGACCCAACTGATCTTGTTAAGTTTTCTTAACTGTCTGAATGAAAACAGAAGAATAATTTATGTGACTGATTCTTAGAGGAGGCCAAAAATATGAAAATCTGTACCACACTAAATAAAAATGATCTTCAGATTTGAGCCACTGCAAGATGAATTTTAGCCATGACAACTGGTTGGAAGGACCTACACAAAATGATGCAAACTAAAAATTGCAAAGAAAAGCCAGTGCAATTTAAACAATTTTGGATTATATTTGTGTGTTGATTTCCTTTGCTAAAGGCCCCTGTTGTTGTAAATGCAACCATACTGTAACCTCTCACTGCATAAGCAACTCTTGTAACAAAAGAATGAACTATAAATCTTATCATAATACTTACAAAGAAAGTTTAATTATCATTAATTTGTTACATACACAGGATGTAAGCACACTTGCTGCTGCTTTGTCAAAATTAAAGCCCCGTACACTCCGCACTCCATCAGTTACCAAGGTTACAACATAACTACACATGGGAGCAAACAAAACAATATAGGTATAAATTTAAAACATGTCTTCCCATTATTAATTTCAAGGTAATTAGGAAGACTTTCATAGTCTATGTTTATCACATCTCATTGCTCAAGTTCATACTGACATTTTGAAAAAGTGTTCTTTCTTTCCCACAAGGGATTCATTTATAAAGGAAAACATTTGAAAATGTTTTATGCAACTCAATGATGCACATCATGACAAAGATTTTCTGACATTTAATTCTTTTCTCCCTAACATCAGTGTGAATATTCTCCAGACTGTTCTCTATACATTTCCTATGGTGCTGACAAGGAGAATTTCTTCACCTATCAATAGGTTCTCAAGGTGGTTCTTTTACTCTTTTCTTATAACCTTAAAGTTTGATTCAGCAGTGATACTGTATGGAGAAATTTGATACCAATCACCCTAAAGGGGTTAAAAGGGTTAAATACTCCACGGATGATAACTATGGTTTATGCGTAAGTTGAACCAGTTGGGAAAATGCATGTTAAATTACTTTTTATAAGAGTGGTATTTTTACACTTCAACCAGCCCATCAAAACCTACATAAATATAATTCAGCATTACATTCAATACTTTTATGATGAACTCACATTTCTCCCCCCTTAAGTGAAAAGACCAGTTTGTCTGATGATATAAACAAAGTCTGGGCACCATCCAGGGTGATCACCACACCCTCTTGGACCTCTGAAAAATATAATAACTTGCTTGGCTACACACATCATGACAAGATACAAAGATTGTACATCAGAAAAAGCAGCATTGGCTTAATTCAAGCTGTAATCTAGGACATGATCTGCTAAGAGCCTTGACGACAACTGGTCTTGCCATTTCACACTTTTCCACCAAAAACACCTGCCTTACTGATTTTAGTTAAAATTTAGATTTCTCAGTGGAGTAATTAAAAAAAAATGTTGTCTGTCCAAATATATTACTCAAAAAAAATCAATATTAAATGTATAACATTTATGCTTGGACAAAAAAAATTTGTATTTACTTAGAGGAAAGTCTGTGCTGTGTTCAGCTATGCTGTTTAATGACACACCATATGGTGGAACACTCTGATTAAGGTACAGCAGAGAGTTTGTAGCACAAACCAATACTCCTCCTGCCCAATGAAAAAATAACAGTTTAGTCAAATGCAAACCTAAAACTAAACCAATGAAATGAGTGCAAACCTCTTCCTGGAAAAATCCCATGCCTGTCAACAAAGGTAATCTTAAAAAGGTAAATATATCCTGTAACAGTATAAATAATGGAGAAAACTCCTTGACTTGAATTCTTTGTCATAATTATGGCAAGACTTGTTCTTTGGTGTATGTATATGTTCCTTACAGGAGAAATACCAACAGATTAAATAAATAAATAAATAAATAAAGTTGACTTGTAGTCATGGATAATTGATGTATTATTACTATTTTTAACCTACCAATTGGCTTAGGTACAGCAAGAACTTGACTACAATCAAATGGCAGATTATTCAGGGACCACACAACTGGATGAGTGCGCTGAGATAAATTCAGGGAGACAGCTACCAAAGCACACGTGTCATGTCGCATGGCAAGACGGCTAATAACAAACAAATAAACAAATGGAATAAATGGACTACTTCACTTTAATGTAACTGTATACATCCTTATAGCTTACAAGTCCTTGAATGCTTGTCAGAAAATTATTCATACCATTGTTGTGCAATTGAAGCCAGTGATATGTAGCCAAGCCATAAATAGAAATAATAAAGCAAATGTAACCATAGCAGCACTTTCAACAAGATTTGAAGAAGGTGGTTTCCTTGGTAAAGAGCCCACATGAGAAAAGTAAGAAAAACAATTTCCCTCTTATTATCCCATTACTTCCATTCATAATAAACTGGCTTCAAACAGAGTTTTTGGTGCTGAGTCTAGCACTCACTTCACGTATTAGAAAGCCTGGTACCTCTGAAGCTAAAAAAAAGCTGGCAACAATTTTGTATGGTTTACACACACAGTTTAGTTTTAGTTTCATTGCAATAATTACTAGTGACTTCCCAGACTGTCTGACTAACCCTAACCCTAACCCTAAGCAAGTTAACATTTGCCATTTGAAACCCATTTTTCTTGGGAACAACTGTGAATTTTTGTGCCCAAAATTGAAAAAGACTTCATATTTCTACATCAAAAGGGTAGATGGTCACATAAAATTAAACACTCTTATTCCACAAATAAAAGTAAACTATTAACAATTTCTGCACTCCCTCAAGTGAATTCTTAAAAAAAAAAGAAGGCCATAACTTTTGGTCAGACAAACACTAACCAAATTACCAGCACTGTAAAACACAATGATTTACTCACCCTGGCCAAGTTTGCAGTGGTTCATAAAGTATTAACAAGGTAGGTTCATAGTAACCATGAAGAAACTGAATATCTATAATGTTGCACAACTTTTCATGAATGTCTTTGAGGTTGATGGTGTAACTTGGTAGCAAAGGAGATCGATCACCACTGAAACAGAACATAATGAAAACAAACATTTTGTAGGTCAAAATTTAAGTAGATTCTCCTCAATCTAAAGAAATCAGTTCCCACAGAGAAGTACACGAAACACAACACCACCTTCAAAGGCAAAAATTAGTTCACAGCATAAATTTCATCCTGGCCCCTAAAAAGTATTTCCACAAAACACAAACAATTCCTAATTCCCAATTTAAAAATAAAACTCCTTAAAAGAATTCTGAAGTTAGGCCATACACAATCTCCATTACTCATAAGGCACAAATTTAACCAAATAAACATGTACCCTGTAATGACTGTGAAGGCTGAATCAAGAAGAAACTCAATCTATGGTTTAAAAAGCATGGCCATCCCTTAAATTTGTTTACCTCACCATTGCATACTTTGTGTCTCAAGAAGTTACTGTAGAATTAACAAATGAATGACTGTTCTGAACTGAAAGTTATTACTTTTGATGTTAGTTTTTGCCCTGCCATGGGGTCATTATTGAAAGAGAGGTTGGAATAGTTTACCCTAATGTAATGCTTCCATACTGCACATTGTTGTTGTTTTTTATTTCTTGTTGCCAAAAGTTTTTGATTTTCAGTGACATCATCACATCACTTACCTGGCTATGACCAAATTTAATTATACGTGGTAGATCTATACACCCATCTTCAGAGTAAGTCCCATAATGCTTTTTGGATATATTGTTACAAAAATCAGGTCATTTGTGCACATATATCATACCTTGCTGTAAAAGTTCCTTCTTGCTCGTGTTCATCCAATACTCCTTCTTGTCTAAATGGTAAAACCACAATATGTGTGCCATAGATAAGCATCACTGCACAGCGTCTATCAGGATCCACACACACCACAGGAGGCCGAAAATACTCTTGATTGCAACTCTGTAGTGTGATACAAGGAATAGAAAATGACTGTAAAATTAGGAAAGTACCATCTGTCTCATTATTTAACATGTGAATATAAATTCACGTTGCCATTTACAAAGCAGGAATATCAGGAATGGTGAACATACACAACCTATTTTACAACATGAAGAAAGTGGTACAGACCCAAGTTTCTTTCAAGTTTTGGGGCAAAGATGGCTTTGACCTCAAAACTTTTAAACAGACAGGTCCCTAAACAACATGACACATATAGTTTACCCTGGCAAACGTTTTGGATTTGTACCTCTTTGTTGGTGAGTAAGTGTGCAATTTTTCTGCTGTATAAACCAACTTTGAATGGACTGCTTGAAAGTGATCAGCCATTACATATTCACCACTAAACTGATGGAGTCTTTTAGCTCTAGTACAGACTTCACCTTTACTTTACTTAACAATAGCTTTTATTTGAATCATAACCATTCTTGCTGTGAAGACAACATTTTGAGATAAATTTAAAATTTTGGTTACCACTGCAGAGCTTTAATAATAAATTCTACTACCTTGGTTATTTTGTCATCTTCAAAGTAATGCAAACTTCTTGTCTTCAAGTCATGAGTGCCTGGATCATAATCCACCACAGCAAACTGCACGCATAATCAAATGACACTTATTAAAAAACACTTCAAAGAATTTAAATTTATAAATTTGGACATCATGTTAATTATCAAGGCACACGTGTGTACCTTAAGTCAAATTTTTTTCCTTTCCTAAAATAAATGGCAAAGAAGTTAAAGTGGAAGAAAAATGACTTAAAATGGGAAAACTTTCTTATCTCATACATTTCACTTTAAGTGCTCCATGAGTAATGTAATTTAATGTAGGTCTTGTAAATATCTTAGGATTTAACTAGCAATTGAATCTTTTGGAAATATTAGTTCATTTTCATATGCCTATGAAGGTTTCTCTGACCAAATAATTAAATTCCCATTGGCTGATTACAAATCAATTCATCATTAATATATTAGAGAGAACATTTCATCAAATGTTGACCCTGATTTTGACTAAAAGTCCACAACAGGATGCAAATAACATTTTAAAGTGAAGAACATTTCTCCTTTAAATATGAATGTTTGGTTATTCCAAAGTGACAGAATTGATATAAATCAACTCAAAAGGCTTATTCACCTCATTTATGCAAAAATGAAAAAAAAGTCATTGGAAAAAAAAACTTAATATTTAATTGCTTAAATTTGAAGAAGAGAATACCTTGGCATCCTTAAAGCTCAATAGCAGTGAGTCCCTTGAATTTCCAGCTAACCTAACAGCTTTAAGGCATTCTATGTTGCCAAACAAAGAATACTGGCTGACAAGCTCCAACTTCCTTCTCTTTGCAGTACCATCTAGGTAAAGTAAACCATAGATACCCAATCTTGCAAAGTGAACCTCCTGTATATGAGCTATTTAATTGACTATTACATTGAAGGGTAAAGATGTCTTAGAATGTTGGTAACCATCCACATGTAAACCTACATTTACAATCTGCTGAGAGGCTAATTCCCTCCCTCCCAAATCTCTCCCCCCCCCAAAAAAAAAATTAAAAATTAAACCTAAACTACCAGGAAGTAATAACACAGAAGATTGAGAACATCTCCATCTCTATAGCATGTCAGATATTGGCCATTTTTGGTGGGGATCAAATTCATTACAATCAGTGTTTGAAATCACCAAGTGTGCAAGCTTAAGTAACCAGAAATATTCATAATAACACTCTCTATATTTTGGCAACTTTCTACTTTCTAAATCTGGTGTTTTTCTTTGAAGCTAAAATCTAATTTAATCGTTGGTTTTGAGTTAACTTAAGAAAGCCTGTTATGAGTGCATCTCACATTTAATAACCCAAGCAAATACTGATACCTTCAGTAAATACTGACCTCCTGTCTTGTCTGATGATGCTGGTCCTGTTGAATTATGCTAAAAGGAAGACATCATAGATCAAAGAAAGTTTAATTATAATTAATTGCCAAAGGCCATGTGAACATTACTAAATAGTTAAACACAAGATGGAGACCCAAGGAATTGATAACAAGGCATATAAATTAAGCATGAGAAAACAGCTGTTTCATTTACCTACAGCGGTCAATTCCCTTCGCCAGCCCCTCAGCCGCCATATTGTTTGTTTACCTCAGATCATTTTGTTTTGAAATTTGATATACATAATTTGATTTGACTACTTAAACAATATTTCCTTTTCTAGGTACCAACGTGACAGCCTGAGAAGAACTTTAACCACCAGGAAAAAAGAGACGTCGGAAATAGTTGAATTGCCTAGGGAATTTCGCTTGCAGAGAATAGAGTATTTATGTCTACACCTGATAATCGAGCAAGATATTTTCAATAATACAACAACTGAAGTCCCCACTAAACGATTCACGGAGCCCGTCTCCTACCTCATCTTGGGTATAAAACTTGTAGATACGAAGCTGTGATGTCCCCGCCACAACAAGATTGTTTTCAGCTGGCGAAAAGAATTGACAGTAGACGCAGTGTTCGATCCCTGTCGGAGGGTGCGTTTGTTTATAAATCGCATACATCCTTTTCAAAATAATAGTAAAAAAGAATCTCCTGCAAATAATTGAAAGTTATAGCAGGAAACAGGTAATCGAAGAAGTTCAGTAGCAAAACAGCATGAAACGGAATGCCATATATATCTTGATTGATACCATTTTCTCTCCTCGTGTTTGTGAGCAGAAATCTACCAGGCCTTCTGCTTTGACACCAGGCCTTCCCAGAAGATTCCACACTGGACGTTATTTCCATGGAAACGATTTCTGGTGTGTGTGGTTCTCATTCTTGAAGGAGGTTCTCACCGACAGCAACAAAGTAGTTAGAAACTAAGAAAAGGGAAAAAAGAGGTCATGAATATAGAATCTTGGTGCACCGTCGAACTCAACTCCAAGCAAGACTGGCTGCGAGCAAACAGGAAACACAACACAAATGCGTTTGCAAGTAGCGTGTTCAAAGGTGATTCAAATCAACACCAAGCAAGCAGGCTGGACTTCAAAAGTTCTCCAGAAAAACACAGGGAAAGAAGACATTTTCCTGATAAAGGTAAAAAAATCCTCAAATTTTCTTGACTTGTTCATTTGACTCTGATTATTCTGGGTTATAAGAGACTTCAAGCACCCGGTTTGACGCCTTGTTCGCGTGCAGGACAGTACAACAGATTCCTACCAATCAGCCAAACATGCCAATCATATACAGAAATATTTTATTTCCATATCGTCGCAAGCGATACGAATCGAACAATAAGATATTTCGCTTGATTACTTTTTCTTCAAAGTACGGATTTTTTAGCCACTTTGTCAGCAATTTTTTTGAAACTTTGTATTTTCTTTCAGCTCAAACTCAGCTCAAGTGACATAAACTCAGAAGGTTATCTAGCCAGGAAACAAGAATTTAGCACTGTGGCACAGCACTGCAAACCCATTGATTGAAATTGACATTGACAATTTTTACAACTTGCTTTATACAAAAATGGATCCTAATATATTTCACCAGATTACTCTGCTGTAAGCAAATTAAAGAAATGAATAGACTGTTCTGGATTAAAAAACATAGATTTGTCTCTGCATCAAAAATGGCTATGTCTTCTGCTATTACTGTTACAACTTAAGATGTTAAGACCATGTTTCTGAGGGTAGGTATCTCCTTATACTTGGTTTGCTCTATACTAAACTACCACTTAACCCTTTAACCTTTGAGAGTGATTGACTTCAAATTTCTCCTTTCATCGTCACCCTTGAATCAAATGTAAAGGTCATAAGAATAAAGAAAATGATCACCAACTAGAGAGGCTCTTGATTGGTAAACAAATTCTCCTCAACAGCACCTTTGGAAATGTATAGAGAACAGTATGGAGAATATGAATACTGATGGTAGGGTGTAAAGTGTTAAGAAGGGATCAAGAAGAGTTCATTGTTGAGCTTAATGTTCCTTAAACTCCCTTACACTGAGAGATATTTCTCCTACAAATGCCAAACTAACCTTCTTTCAGAGATGCCTTTAATCTTCCTTGGAAGATAGGAAAAATGTTCCCAATTTGATTAGGAAGATAAACGGCATTTCTGTAATCAGAATGGATGTGATTCTCTCATTAATAAAATAATATTGCAAAATAACTGTGGCAAGATGCAACCCTTCAATTTAAGTCCTATGCATAATCTTCTCTTCTATCACAAGACCTCAAAAGGAATTGAATAAGTAAAAAAATTCAAATTGAAAAGAGATGACCTCTACACAACTATTAAGTGTGATTATGCTTAATTTGTCTTTTAAAGAAAATATGACCTGTCTTTTCAGTTAAAATTCTCTTATTGCACTCTCAATCCATGTTGCTGTGTGTCTGTTTGGTAACCAATAACAGATGAGGTCAAAATGTGGTAACAACAAAAAGGTTGCACACAAGGCACAGCCAAGTGTGTCACTGGTGTTCTCACTACATTGATGTTTTCTGTGATCTAACACTGCATAGACCCTTGGCAACATGGAATCCATTTGTTTCATATGATAAAAAAGATGTTGTTAATGATGAGGTCATCTATGCATTTGTCCTCTGATATATCATGAAAGAAAACCAGACAAAATGTGTGGGAGACAGGCTACAAAAAGAAAAAACTTTCACATGACCTTGCCAACACTGAGGGAGAAATGATAATATTAAAACTTTGACAATTTATCTGATTGAGTGCAACCAGCTCATTCTAACATAAAGGGGTTCTCCTCTAGATCTAACACAAATTAGATATCATGCCATTTCATCTTAAAAAAAGAAAAGATAAGTTTCATTCATTTGACCAAACAGTTTGCATAACTTTTGAGGCATACAATTTCGTACTGGAGATATTTTAAAATGCAGACCAAGTAAATGAACTACTGTTATGGGCAAACAACTTCCATTCTGAAAAATATCAGTGCAATAGAAAGACTAGAGCCTGCCAAAAGGACTTTTATGTGAAGTATTAGTCAGGCTCAATCAAATGCTAGCATGAATACTAACATATTTTTTTTTAACACAGTCACACTAGTATGACTGACAAACCACTAGTGTTCCCGGTGCAAAGGGACAGAAAAGGTGGACATTGATGCTGTGACTGATCAGTTCAGCAAGCAGTCTTTTAGCTTGTTGCTAAATTTAATTGATACTTATTTGCCATTTTTCTTGAATTTTATTGGATCCACAAGAGTTTAAATTAACTGAAAAACAATTTCAATAGACCTATTTTGCTTCAATTGACATGCCTTAGTTTTTCGAATGATCATGACTTGGAATCTTATTTTACATGGAACTCGTCAGACACAATATAGAGATATAATAAATATCTTACAAACTTTGTCTTCTTGATATGTACTACAAGTGACGGATCTTTGTTCCCCTCCCCCTGATTTACGGCTTTTCGCCATAAATCCAAGGGAGTAAAATCAATCTGTTATTAACGGTACAAGCGAACATACAGAACTTCGTTTGTGCTTTCCTACATATTTCAGTCAAACTGGATAATTCACAACTTCTAAAACAACAGATTTTAGGCTACTATTCCTTACACACAATGCGATTTCTGTGAGACAAATCGCGGTGTTTAGCACTAGGTTATAGTAGCATGTTTTTGTGAACATCTCGAAAACTTACACCTTGTGCCAAAGTTCATATTCTTTAGGCCCTCTCTCCAAGTCATACGTGTATTCCAGAGCAGCTTTAGTGTTATTCGGATAACTGCCGATTGTATCTTTCGGAGGATTCACTTTGGGCAAAAACTGCTCTTCGGCTGTGGTGGGATTGTGAAAATAAGCTACCTTTTGGTCGAACAACGTACCACTTTGGTCTCTATACTGTTGACGATGCTGACAGACTAAGTCGTCGATTTGAGCGCGGTCTCTCTCGCGGTCAGGAATTCTGTTGGTGAGGTGATGATGCGGTTTGTTCAAAACAGCTTCTCTTCGCAGGCACCGAGTCCCTAATACACGGTCAGGCTTATCGGATAAGCTTGTGGGTCGGTAGGGGGAACCAAGCGTATTTAAGTTCTTCACCAAGGTTCTCTCAGCCACGTACGAACGCCTGTAGTCTTGAAACCATTTTTCTCTTCCTTCTCCATATCGTTGACTATCTCTATACGGCATAAAGTGTGGTGTAAAGTATCTATTTGCAGGCATATTTATCGGATCAACGTATGTTTCTCTATGCCAAGTTGAGAACCTTGGAACCTTATGGTTCGCCATGTTTGATCGTTTACCGTCGCTAGGTGACTGAAATAGGTTGGTGATGTGTACATGTATATGTGCGGGCTAAATAAGGCTCGGGATTAAATAAATAATAGCCTTTATTTGGCGCGAAAATACATGTATGTTATTGACCAAGCGCGAGGGGGGCTGAGGTCAGGATGGTTGGATATTGACTGAGTTCTTTTCGCGTTTCAATTGAATGAGACGAAGTCGAGATCCATAAAACAATAAAAAGAACGAGGCTGATATAAAGTCGCCATGATCGAACGAGCTTGGTCAAGAAGGGATTTATTATGATGCAAAAAGATTTCGCTTTAACAACGTAATAAGAATCAATAATAACTAACTGTTTATTTCGAACCCTGGGAAAGAAAGCCAACCGACAAGCGTTGTTTTTCATCTGACAAACAAAAAAAAAGTATGTTTTAGTTACGTTTAAAAAAAAAAATTCTCAAAAGCAAACTCAGTTCTTGCTCTTGGAATGAAACTAACTTCTCTTGCCTCGTTTTTCTTTCAGTAAAAGCACTTCCGTCATGTACAGATTTTTCTCATTTCCTGTTTTTTTTTTAGCATAATAAACCCACGAACATCGTCTATGTTTTCTTGTTTTTTTTGTCTTCTCACAGGCAGACCACATTGTGTTCGTTGACGTGGAACGAAAAAAATCTGTGAGGGTTATGAATAAAGCTCTGAAAATTGCATATCTAAAATACATCCCGGTCTTAATATCTCAAGAAAGTTAAATGAAATGCTAATCGACTCGTGTGGTATTTTTTCGCCTTCATGGGCTGTTTGAAGCGTCTCTTTACGCCGAGAGTGACTCTTGGTCTGAGGTTGGTAGGAGAAGAAAGGGAGAGAAGGCTTATGTGGGTTTATTGTGCTACAAATAATTAAACATGATTTAAAAAAAAAAAAAAAAAAAAAAAACAAGCGCGCGCCAGAAAAAAGCCGTTCTCGATTCCTCCTAAAGCAATATTTGTTTTTTTTTTTCCTTGATGGGGGGGGAGGGGAGGGAAGGAAGTGTTTTCATGGACTTCGACTTTGTCTCGTTCAATTAAAACGCGAAAAAATTCGAACACGCACATTTATAGCACCGTCAAAACGAACTCCAAACCTCTTGAATGGGAAAATGGATTGGGAAATCGTAAATCGTAAATTTTTCTCTTTTTTTTGTTTTAGATGTAGTTTATAATGAGGATCAGATATTTTTCATCGATATCCACGTTCTCTTTTGCTAAATTCAAGGAACGAAAAAGTTGTGAGCTTCGAGGAAGAGATTTTGTCCAAGAACAAATATATGAGCATATTTTCGCGCAAAATAGAGGCCATTGTGTTTCTTATCCTTCAAATATTTTGCAACGAACGTTTGGATACTTAATTTCAGAGATTGCAAAAAATCGCGAAATTTAAGACCGGAAAAAATAAATTCAGTCGCGCGAAATTTGATCCCCTATAGAAAATTCCAATCAAAGAACACAATGATCAACATGATCAGCAAAACCTGAAGACTGACTGTACCTTTTACTACTTCAGTTTGTGACACAACTGATAGACTTTGACTGCATCATTAAAGCCATGAGCCATAGAACATTTTTACGACGTTTTATCAATGCACACTTGATTAGTTCTAATTCACACCTAGAGGAAATATATAAAAAGTACTTTTATTAAGGAAAAAGAGCCAAGTTTACTTAGGTTTCACTGTATCTATTGAGTTATTTTCCACTCTCTGTTTGAGCTCTCATTAAGCCCGCTTGTGTGGATCATTAAGGACGAGTTTCCCTGGGAACAAATGCCTTTCGAGTGGTAAACATGGCTACCGAGTCGGGCACTAGACATAGAGATTTTAAAACTGTCTTTTGTGTTACCGACGTAAAAGAAAGAAAGAAATTGTTAGGTAAAGTTCTACAAATTCCAGAATTTAACGAAGAAGATGATTTGAGGTCCGGGATACTTCTTGATATTCATTATGACACGTTGGCTTATTTTGTAAACAATGGTTTTCCATGGCGAGAAGTGGCTCAGCTGTGGGAAGTATTTCAAAATTTATTAAACGAAGTACAAGGTGAGCTATTACTTTCAATTCGTCGATCGATGAGTGTTTTCCCTGCCGGTATTATGTGCCACCTAACTATGGATTCAAGTCTAGTTAAGGTAGTAAACACTATTACCTTAGCCACATATCAGTCTTTCTTTTTTTGATTGTGATTGACTTTGCGTAGAATTATCCCACACTGTCTAAACTCAATCATTGTTTAGTGTCATTGACATGTAAAAAATTTGACGTACAAAATTCAGGACTTGCCGTATTCAGAACGAATGATTTGGCCTTATGCCAGAAATATGTCGCCAAAATCTTATGACTGAAAAAAATATGTAGTTGAAAGTTGTGGAAAACAGAATCCAAAGCTCTTGTATGACATAAGATCTTGTCCAACGCTTACTGTTTTGCTTGTGAAAGACCTGAGTCAGGAAATTTGGAGATTCAATCAATAGGTTTGGACTTGAAGGTGGTACAATTTTAAAATTTTTCTGCAGACCCAAATTTAGTTTTTGTTGAGTCATTTAAGCATTTCACTTGGAGCAATATTGGACAAAAATCTCCCTTTTTATTCCAAGAATTAATGCTAGAGTTACTGATTGGCTGTAAACTTTCCTGTATACTTTTTTTAGAAAGTGAATATCTTATGACTAATGTGTTGTAATGCAGTTTAAGTCAACTGGAGCTGTCAAGTCCATTTGCTGGCAAAGAGTGAGATTTTATGGGCATCACCTATCAAGGGTGGAAGGGGAGAGAGAATGGGGGCAATGTTTCCCTTGAAAATTGTAAAAAGATGAAATATCTAAGATGTGCATTTCTCTTATCTGAGAAAGAATTTCTGCTGTTAAAAAGTGTGTGAAGTGAATGCATAGGGAACCAGGAATAAATTATGTTTGGAAGGACAATTAATTTAATAACTACTAAATTAAAGCAAAAGTTTGCTATCTCAAAATCAAAAGAATAAATTTGAAACCTTAAAGTAGTGAGAAATAATGGCTTTAGCATGAGAGTGTAAGATTGAATTTGTTTGTGCAAGTCTCATGATCAATGCACAAGACATAATAGCTCTAAGTCAACTAAACACTATTAGCATCCTACAGCATTTTTTGCTTAAATTGTTTCATTTATTTACCCAGTAGTTAACAAGGGATTTTTCAATTCATGCCATTTACTTATTAATGGTACTGTAACTTTTTAGTGGGTAGGGAGGTTCAATGTAAAAGGAAATGGTGGGATGAGACCAGCTGGAAGAATTTAATGACATTTCAATATTTCAAAAAGGTAGAAGCATTTCCAAACTTGAATACATCTGTTCTATCCTTAGAATTATGTTCACCAACCAAGTGTCAAGCACAAAAGCAAAATCAAAAAGTGGAATTTAATACAATTAAAATAGAGGAACTGTATTTTCAAGAGGTTTAAAAACAAAGAGACAATTGTAATGCTGTAATCGATGCTGTGTCCACTGCCTTGGGTGTAAACTTCACCAGTAACTATTTTGTTTTTGATCAGGCAAACCACTTGAGGAGGCTATAACACTGTTTAAACAACAGCTCAACAGAATTGCCCATTACTCCAGCGAAAACAACCTCAAGTCTATGATAGATTTTGTTTTCATGACATTATTTCAACACTACAAGCTGTATCAATTTGTTCTGACACAAGAAAGAGCTGATGACATCACCAAGTGTGAGCTGGATATTGAGCCTCCCTTGGTTCCAGAACCTCTGAGGGATGGTGTACTTAAGAGTGTTTGGGATGAAGAACAGCGAATAAAAAAAATTGAAGAGATGGAGCAAAAACGCATCCAGGTATGTGACTGTGTATGCAACCATTGACCTAGTAGCAAGTTAACTTGAGAAGTAATGTCTACTCTAAGAAGTTGTACTGCCTGATTCACCTCAAAGCCTTTCTTACTTGAATCAGTCTAATTTAATGTTTATTATGCTCTTTCTTGAGAAAGACACATTTTATTGGAATAAAAGTGTAACAATGCAACATATGTACAAGAGCAAGCAAGGTTTTTTTATGGTTGACTGGAACCAATGGATAAATGTTGCCTGCCCTAACTTAAAAGTGGTTCAGAAGTACTGGTTATTAAAGAATATGCATTTCCCTCTTATGATTTTATGAAATGTTCCTCTTTATTGGAGTAATCAATGCTACAAAAGAATACATAGTTAAGCCCGCATATTTCATTATGAAACTGGGGATCAATATACAGTTGAACCTGTATAAAATGGTCAGTTGTTAATTTTTCTCCATTTAATTACTCTTAACAGTAATTTTCACCTCTATTAAGCAGTCATGGTCATTCTTGACTGAGTGTCAGCATCTGGCCTTTATTGTCTTCTGCTTACATGCATTGAACAGTCACTGAAGCAGAACCTCTCGAATAAAACTAGGAATAGTACTTTGAGTTCAAATGCGCTCAACATATTGCAAATTATCTAATTTTTCTGAGAACTGTTGGAACAAATATTGTGCACAAACATTATGCCTATAGATACGACCTAGAGGCCCAACTGATAGATAGAAGTATATAGTAATTTAGCTTTAGTGTTCTTTTTTTTATGCTATGTCACCATTTTGTTGGTTCTGTTTACTGGTATTAACAAGAAGTCAATGCATTTTCAATTATGGCATTAAATAGTGGTTATTACTGCATTTGACTCCTACTCTCTGCAAACTGTTTAAACGGTCTACTTGCCATTCCCTGTGGTGACTACTTAATACAGGTTTGACTGTATTTGTATGTAGCTTTTTCTTCATCAATCACTGTTACTCAACACTGATACTGTTCTCTTGTCTTTTAAGGAAAGAACAACATATCATGAAAATGAAATCCAACAAGCTGTTCAGCAACTGGAGCAGCAGTTTTTGGAGTTGGACTCAACACCAGAAAACTTATCAGCAGAAAATTTAGCCACAATTGTGGCTAATGTTACTGCTAAAAAGGCTGCTGTGACAAGTGCCACTCTCAGTTATAAAATGGAAGAAATGCATGATTCTTTAAAATTCAAGTACAAACGGGCCACTGTTAGTCAAGAGAATGATAAGGGAGGTAAAAAATCTGCAGCTTCCAGTCGTCGTTCCAAAGGAAATTCTGGAAAGTAGTGATCTTGTTGTGCAAGTATACTTTCCAGTTGTAAATGTACTTTGATATAATTTTTTGACTTTCAGACAAGTTATTTTAGAGATAAATTTCTTATTGTTATTTATCACTGTATTGACAGTGTGAGCTAATTATGTGCAGCTTTACGAACTCAAGAGTCTATTTTTCTTTTTTTTGAAACTTACGACTGCTAATACTTTAAATTTGTGGTTAACCTGTATAAAAACATCCACTGAATTTTTGTTTCCTTTTGCTTAATATTGATTTGCTAGGTTGTTGAAAGTGTGTGTTTGCAAAGGCTTAGAAAGCTGGCAGAAGCCCTGCTCTGCATAGCTGTCTCTGTTCATGTCTCTCCTTACTGTCTGCCATACAATACTTATGATGTTAGCTCAAAGAATTTGGTATTGGATCAACTAATATTACCCTAATGGATATTTTCTTTATTCTCATAACTTATCTGCTTGATATTGTATTGTCATTGTAATGAGAAATTCTGTCTTTGTCAGTTATGATAATTAAAGGGCTTTAAAAGAGATCAAAAGATATGTTCAATAAAAGTGTTTGGATACAGAAATTATTATCCTTTATTTTTCAAAAATGTGGAAAGTTACATTGTGATTCTAAGTCCTGCAAAAATCATGAAAACTGGGAATGAAAGTGTTAAAAAAAAATGAGAATAAGTCACAAGTGTTATGTTTTTTCTTATTTGCAACAAGTGGGAATCTTTGTGAGGTTTCCTTGCCTCCTCTTCCCATTCTTTTTGCCTGTGGGATTAATTTCTTTTCGCTGATTTCTTTTCTGTTCTAAGTTTTTGTGTATGCTGAGGTGCACTGATTTCATAAATCTTGCTTTAAAAAAGGTGAATATGTGTCCTTAAAGTGGCGATTAACCTACTCAAGGAAATATTTTACATTGATTTCATGTCACTTACATTCTGCACTTCCATAAATATTTTATTGTTGGTTTGAGACATGGTGTTGAATTTTTGTTCTGAGTTAAAAGAAAGAGGAGAAAGTAGTTTATTTGAGATTGGGTAAGGATCTTTTTTAGGGGTGCTTCATACCCTTACCTTGAGGCAGTCTCCCTGGTAGATTGATGACTGATATTGAAAAGGCCACACCCCTCCCCCATAGCTTCCAAGTTGTGTCTAACAATTGGGGCTAAATATATCACAACGCAAAGTTAAAATTGGTTTACAAAATTTATTCAACAACAATAAATTTGGGGGGTCTGGCTCTATGAACAATAACTGAGTAGTAGCTGGTAAGTTAAAATCTTAACTGTTCAAGGCTGATGCTTCAACTTCAGATTTTCAACTGCAACTCTACAACATTGGAACACAGCCAAGTGCTGTGTTCCAATGTGTGAGATGTTATTGAATGAGAGGTTTAACATAAGTAGCTGACAGTTGTTATTGATGGCTACAGCCAAGTGCTGTGCTCCTATGTCTGAGATGTTATTTGCTCTGAGGATTAACTTGTGTGGCAGATAGTTGTTGTTGTTGATGGCTACAGCCAAGTGCTGTGCTCCAATGTCTGAGATGTTATTTGCTCTGAGGATTAACGTGTGTGGCTGACAGTTGTTGTTGATGGCTTCAGCCAAGAGCTGTGCTCCAATGTCTGACATTCCAATTTTTTAACATCCCTTTGTTAAAATGTTGTCTTGTTCAGTTTTGCAGAGGAAAAATGTCATACGTAAAACTGCAAGCACAGTTCTGTCACCAGTAATGCAGACAAGCATAGAAATATTGAAATGTATTTTGATTGAATAATTGCTTGTTTTTTTAATTGAATAAATTATGTGATGCTGCCAAGTTTGATATCAGTCAGCTAAGAAGATCAAAAGATATTTGTAACCACAGATGAAAGAGTATTGAAGGTAGCCCTAAGTTAATAAACACATATTATAATTAATTTTTGAATTGCTATTTTCACCTTTTGTGGTTCATGCCAGAAATTTCTATGAGCTTCTTGGTGCAATATTAAAAACTTTCCCCATAACCATCAGACAAAAAATGCAAAGATAAGAAAGGTTCATCCTTCACCCAGGCAACCAGCAAGGTTACCCGTTTCCTCAAAAAAGTGCAAGGAATTTCACAACATGTGTCTACAGTGCATATTAAAGAGAGGCGCTCGTTCAGGCCCACGTTTATTTGGAGAATAACATAGTGCATATTAAAGAGAGGCGCTCGTTCAGGCCCACGTTTATTTGGAGAATAACATAGTACTACAAGAATGATAATAACAGCTGTAATAAGATCAACAGCAGGGGGGAGGAAGGGGGGGAATTCAGAATGGTGAAAAAAAAAAAAAAAAGCACACATGGTTCAGTCAACATTTCCTTTGAATGTGTATTTAGGCATTTACATTCCAATCTGTATTAAGGGGAAGAACTTTGCCTGAAGACCACTTATAGCAACTTAAAACCACTTGTAACTAAGTTTCATCTGTACATCGATGCTTAGATTTTACAACAAATACCACACACACAGATCTGCACGCAGGCTAATTATGTGTACAAATCATGATGTTGTCCCACTGTCATCAATGCATGTGCTGCTGCAATGCACGGTTTTCTTTTAGCAGGGGATGGGGGTCTGCTGGGAGGCAATTTTTCTGAAGTTCAAGCAGCAGAACATGTACACTGTGAGTAGTCTCTAATTTTGGTGGAGCAATTTGCTAGGCGTGCAAAATACATACACACGCACATGAAATTTCGATACCCAATGTGAAGGGAGCACCAAAAATTAGATTGGACTAATTTTTGGGCTCCCTTCATGTCGTCTTCTCAAAATCTCACACGCATGTGTCGGTGTATTTTGCCCTAAAATCTCACATTATTTATTTTTACAGATCGAGAACAATCTGCCAAAAACTGCCAAAAAGTGAAAACCGCACAATTTTCATGACCTGGTCAAGGTTTCCAGTATCAGTGATCAACTCCTTCATTTCTGTGAAAGAGAATTAAGGATGGATATTTGAATATCATGCACCACAGCAATTTTCATCACATTGTAGTGGTTGGATCTTGACAGTTGGATTACACCCTATGTTGTGAAATCAGTTATAAAAATGTTGCAGTTTTTCTTTTTCTATCACATTTCTTTGACTCATAGATTCGAAGAGGAATCCATATTCTCAAATCAAGCAAAAACACTGCTGTACTTGCAATATAGGAAAGCAAAAATATCAATTTTATCTGTTTTGCAAACAAAGGAGTTATCACTGACACTGGAAATCAGGACCAGGTATTCCTAGGGCTAGGGAGCACAAATGACGTGATGGTCCAGTCCTTGTTGACGCTGCACAGAGGCAAAAATTAATTTTAAAAAAAGACACTTCAAATGGCCCAAGAAGGCTTAAAAACATCACAAATGCATCAATTAACATTTCAATTAACTTTATTGAGATATTCAGACCAAGATGTAATTCTAAGATATGCAATTTTCAGAGCTGTATTCATAACCCTTACAGATTTCATTTGTCTCATGTCAACAAACACTTGGTGTGGTTTGCCTGTGGTATCGACATTATCTTTATCCATTTATAAAAAGAAGTGGCGAAAATGATTGATCTCCCTCCAAAATCGCTTTTTTTATTAAGACAATTAGCAACGAGGAAAGTTTCCTCATTTAAATAGGCAAAAAAGGAGTCTGTACAAATTTGCTTGTCACTAACATGATCGATACATTGTAACATTTTAAACCAAAAAATACACTTGGTGATTGAACTTATTGCAGACAGTTTTATAAAGCTGTTAGTTACTTGATTAAAATGTCATGGAAACTGTTTCACAACAAGCATCAGGTGAAGAACAGAACTGCCAAGTCCTCAACAAGGAATTAAACCTAAGATCGTCAGTTCTCTATCATCTGAGATACAGAGAGAGTGTTGGAGAGCTTTGCACTATGTGCATATCTGACGAGTTTGCTGCATATTTAGTATGATTTTCTTTTTGTCATGTTCCTGGCAAATGACTGACAAAATCTTGAATCCAGCATTAAAAATACATCCACCAAAATATGTAGCATTTATGTTTGGCATAATTTTATCATATTTGTTTTAAGCAGAATTTACAGATTGTAGAGTACATTCTTTAACAGTACTAAAGCTTTAAGCCTTTACTGTCTACATGGGGTCATTGCATTTGTCTTTGGTGGAATAATCCACTCCTCCCAGGAAATTAAAACTGGCAGAGAACTTGATGAAGCACAAGGTTACTTGAAATGATCTAGCATCTCATCCTGGGGAATTCTCAGGTACTTCATTCCAAGGAACCATGGAGGTTGGGATAAACTTCAATAGCACTGCACAAAGCCTACAAGAGTTACTTTAACCTCTCAAAAAACAAAAAGTGAGCTAAAAATGAGTTAGGGTGATTTGCCTTTCAATTTCAAATATAAGGCTTGCACATTGAGTCCAGTCTCTTCCCTTGATCTTCTCTCCATAAGAAAAAAATAAAGAGCAGCAAAGGTAACTTTGCATTATATCATCCAACGACTTCCAGCTCAAATGACTGAGAACAATCTACGTCTTCATTTGCAACTTGTTCACTCTGCACATTAACTGTTACTAGCATCTTCATATTTTCTTTTGCCATTTGGAGCTCATCAACTTCAAAATACATGCTAAGAAGTGGCATTTTCTTTCCAGCACAACAGTCTGCCTCATACACAAGCTTGAGCAAAGTCCAAATAAATCCAACTGCAGGCTGATTTAGGAGAACTGTTTGTCTTATTTCACTCACTAGCTTCTGCTTTGGATCTAACAGTAGAGAAAATGAAAAAAATACAAAGATCCAAGTTACTCCTTTTTTTTTTAACACCTGTAAGGTCAACATCTCTGCATTTTTTGTGTAAGAATCTGCAAATAGTGCTTTTTTCAGGATTGTTAACCCTTTATCTCCCATAAGTGACCAAGACAGAATTAAGTATGATATTAATACAGTATCAAGCTGACAAGTGAAGAGAATAAAGAAAAATATCAAGGGGATTATAAGTTGATGTAATACATACAGCAGCTTCAAATAAGCACCCTCCCTTGGATCAGCACACTGACTTCCCTTTCAGAACAAAAGACCCCTTCTAATCAGTACCTCTTCTTCTTGGAAGGAAATACTATAAAAGGAAATACTTTCAGCCATTTTCTGTGTTAAAAGGAGCTAAATGTTTCATTTCCCATACATGATAAAAGGGCTGCCTATCATTGCCCCACTTCACATCCCAATTCATCACATCATTTTCAAAAAGTATCTTTGAAGGAATCTGAACATGACACATACTGTAAAATGTATAGGCATACTTGCATCAACAATGGGATATCTCCTTCCAAATAGTTTTGACTCTCTTTTTAGGATGCCATGTAACACTAAACTGTCCAAGACTATTGTAGCAGAATTTTCTCTCTCATAGGATCCATGGATTATCCATTCCACAATTGTTCTTGGTTTTCCCTTGGCAGCCTGATGATACTTTATAATGTCCAGAAATAAAGCCTGGTCTAAGTATGTCCCAGTTAAAGTGGTATCTTTAACCTGTAACCAGAGTTAGATTACCAGTGGTAGTTATTGGATACCAATTCTATAAAGAATGGTACGTGAAAAGTGGACTATTTAATATACTAATTTGCAGCTGATTGCTCCATAGAGTGGTACTATTTCACTTAAAGGCCAGTGTAAACTGTACTTCTCAATGTTTTCCAACACATGACAAAAATTACAGCTCCCCACTTCACTCAATAAAATAAATTAATGACCCCTTATGCACCAGCTAACACTAGAGAGTATTTCATTCTCAAATCTTAAAGTTGATTCAAGCTAAGACAGTATTTTTCTGCTGTAGCTCTTGTGATAGCCCTGCATTTGTCCTAACCCCTAGATATCCAAACAGAAGACAATAGAATTACTTTGCGTTAACATAATTACGTTTGATCCAATTTTCATTGCATGACTAAATTGTCCAACTGATCAGATAATGAAGTAAGAGAGTGAATTTTACGTCCAAACCAAAACCTCATAGTATAACAGACGTTATACCATGAGGTAAAAAAGAACTGTTGTTACTGAATAGCTCAACAGACACAAGGTTCACCGATTACCAGCAAATGATTACCAGCGTGCATAAAAATACCTACTTTCACCGTGATAACTTCTCTCGTCCTGTCCATCCAATGTTTGATGTCTTTGTTGAAGTCAATTTTATCCAACACATACAAATCTAGCAAAACAGCGGCAGTTGCCATAGTTGTCATGACATTCGGTCTTAGCCTTCCGGCAACATCTCCTGTGTTTTGATTTTGCCACAACAAGCAAAACGCTTGTGATAACCCTAACTCTCCCTGTGAGATAGAATCTTTATCAAACCTATCAGAAGCAAGAACTTCGCCCAGCTTCGCAGCCACCGTCCACTCTGAAGCGTCCTCAGAAGCCATGTTTACGAACCGTTTCACGAATGGTTCTAGGTACAGCAATGCAAGAGCAGCGTTAATCGACCCCGTTTGTGGTCGTTAAATGGAAAATTCGCCAACGGAAAGAATGCACAGAGTGGTATGCGTAGGGTGAGCTCAATGTAAGACGCAGTTGAAAACACCGTAAGTGATGCTACGCCGAAGGACGTACGTCGAAGGCTTTTTAGGTATATACGCCATGGCTGAATACCATATAGACGACAAAATGGCTGACAATATATATGGTTAACCGTCATGTAAAACTTACAATATGTCCTAGTTAGCCATGTCATACCACGTTAACCCACATCTACCCTAGGTTAGCCATGTTCTACCACGTTAACCCACAAGCTAACCATGTTCTACCACGTTAACCCGCATCTACCCTAAGTTAGCCATGTTCTACCACGTTCACCCACATCTACCCTAAGTTAACCATGTTCTACCGCGTTAACCCACATTTACCCTAAGTTAGCCTTGTTCTACCTCGTTAACCATAAATGACTTATGTTCATAACTAATAAAGTTCTTCTAAAAATGAAAAGATGTGATATTTTTGGGGAGATCCAGTGATTGAGACATTTAAGAAATTAAGTTATGAAGGGAAACTTGGTTTGTACTTCTCACTACTAACAAGTCTTGTTGACAAATATTTTCAGATCAGAGTTTCAAATAAAGTAAATTGAAGACGTCATTTAAAAGGTGTTTTTTCTCAAAGGGAACATTGACTACCTCTGTCTTGTCTGCATGCCAAATGTTTGCAAAGGGTGTGGATGATCCACAAGTATTGGAACTCTTACAAAATGTTTTGCAAGAATAAAAACAGCAAAACGAATTACAGCAATTAGTCACGAAAACAGAGCACAAAACTTAAAAAAAAACCAGCAACAACAATCATGAAAAAAGAAAGATTAATTAGGTGTTGAATTTGTTTGTCTAAGGCATGAAATTTCTACTAAAAATAATGAAGTCTCTGACAGTGTTTGAGGCAACTGAGCTTGACTGTTCCAAGGTTTTCTAACAAAGGCAACCAGTAATGTAGGTTAGTAACTTAGTTAGTAATGTAGGGAAGTAACTTATGTTCATAACTAATAAAGTTCTTTAAGTGTAGATAACAATGTAATTATTGTTATTTATTGTGGAAGTTGTGTACCAAGGAACAGCTAATGAATGTTTGATGATTTTGGCACAGCTGAACATGAAACATTAATTTGCATCACAATAAAAATATTTTATGATCATGGAATCCAAAAGTCCTTTGAGATTAGAAAGCAAATCTGTGATATGAGTACATTGGATTAATTGGCAATTTCCATTTAACATAATTGACTGCTGGTTCATGAGAAAATCTATATTAATATAGAGATTTACTAAAACTTAGTTTGATTAATAAGTTTCATGATCTTTAAGTTATAAACATATACATGTATGTATATCTCTTGGTAAGTTTTGTATAACTTACCTTTTATTGAGCCAAAGTTTTAAGCCTCTGAAATTACTCCTTTTCTTAAAACCTTCACATTCAAGGTATTTAGAATTTTTTAGAATTTATGTGGACCTCAGGTATTTAAATTGCCTCAAATTCAATTCCCAGAAATTCCCAAGAATTCCACCCTTCTTAAATTATAGGTAGTTTGTATAGCTGAGAATTCCTAGGAATTCCTAGGAATTCCAAGTCCTCACAAAACTGGAGTCTTCCTTTCCCAGAAATTCCCAGTAATTCCAAGCTTTTTAAATCAGAGTTAATTTGCATAGTTGAGAATTTTTGAGAATTTCTAGGAATTCCCAGAAAACTGGGAATTCAGTTCGCAAGGGTATCTCTAAAAAACTCATAGCAACACTACCTGGGGATAAGAAAACACAAACATTAAAAAACAAAGTGTAAAAACAAATAGTGTTATGTGACAGTGTTCTCCTTCTCAGGTGATACACAGTGAAATTCACTGCCTGTTGTACATGTACCTGTTATTACAGGCTAAAATCAGTTGGAAATTGGAAGTCTAGAAAATTAAACAACAACAGCAAAAAGGTTTGCTTAGTCAGTTGAAAAATTTATCTCACCTGTTGTGACCAAAAATAGGCAAGACCACTGTATGATATACTAATTATAATATAAATTTATATCATAATATATAGAAACATATTGTTTAGTATACCCTTGTTTGGCTTTCTTTCATCTCTTTGAGTTCTTACTCAGTTTAAAATAATATGAAAATGTCACATCACTATCATAAATGTGACTGATTTATTGCAAAAAAATTTCATGAATTTCTCACGATTTGACCACATTATTAACCCTTATTGTTAACATTCAAATCTTCTCATTGTTCTCTTTACATTTCATCTGGTAATGACAAGGAGAATTTGGTTGACAATCAAGAGCTTCCCAAATTGGACATCATTTCCATTATTCTTACGACCTTTTCATTTGATTCATGGATGATACTGTAAGGAGAAATTAGTCATTCTTAGAGGTTAAAGAGTTATTTAAAAAATTGGTGATTCAATCCAAAACATGTAGAACAGTTTATACTCACTATCATATTGTGTTCTTCCAATTGTCTGTATTAGAAAAAGTTGTGTCCATTCACCAACTCCAATCTTCACAAACAAAGTCAGTAGATATCCTGCACATAAAAGCCACAAAAATGGACTGTGAAGCATAGTAATAATGTAGTCCTTCTTGTCCTCTACTGTTTTGTTTTCAGTTACTGATTTCATAGTAGTTCTTTCGGTAAATTCCTCCAGTCCTATTTCTAATGGAGAATCACAAATAAGGTAGTAAGCTAAAACAGACATTGCGGCAGTACTGACTCCAGGAGTAATGAGTGCTGCTGACCAACCAAAGTTTGAAGTAAGAAATGCTGTTAACATGGGAGAAATGCTTGTTGCTAAGTTACAGCCAGCTGTAAGAAGACTCCACAGAGTACCCAGCTTAAATAGACATTCACAGATAAATAAAGAGTTTCAACTGCATATTAGCCAAATAGGTATAGGATGTAAGCAGAATCAGTATTCTACCATAAATGCAGCTGTAATCTGACTAGTTATGCTACTTGCTACAGTATCTATTCTGTGATAAACAAAATAAATGACACAAACATGAGCCCTTCTTGTTTGTGTTTTGATTGAACAGTAGATAAACTTAAACAATCAGATTATTTGCTCTCCATTTTTATGCATGATAGAAATCCCTCTCTATGTAATTTTTAATTGGAAAGACAAAATGCTTATCCAGGCTATGATGTGTTCAGGGAGTTAAGGTCTGTAACAATAGATTATGTACCTCACCTTTCTCCTATTCATAAATTTGAGTATAGTTTAAGGGAAGAAAATCAGCAAGCTTGAAGCTTAAATTTCTCAAATGTGTACTATATTTCAATGTAACTAACTTATATTTAATATATTTACCGCATTTTTTAGGCGAATACAGACGAAACATAGAGCTGAGGAAGAAGGATTTTGAAGGATTTTGGTTGTGTCACGATAAAATCTACCTAACCCTCCCCCAAGGCTCTGTAGTATTCTAATGACCCCCCTCATTTTGCAACCAGTTTTGTACAATCTTCTCTTTATACTCTGTTATCGACGACTGATCTCCCCTCCGTTTCTCCCCCTCCCAAAATTTTATCCGGGATTTCCCCCGACCTCTCACTCTGACCTCCCCCCCTTATTACAACAATGCATAAAATTGACATCAAGATTTCCGCTCTAGTCCTGATTTCAATTTTAAGCGTTCGACTTCATTTTTGAAACTCCAACAATCAGTCAATTTGTATTTATGTTTAGTTACGTGCATACCTGATATCAATAAAGCAAACCATACAGTAAAATTAAAACATCTTTTCACAATATACATTTGCGGGCAAAATGGAGTGAGCTTAATTGAAGAAATGTAGAATGGTTTCCGTGTTTACATAGCCTGATGTAAACACTTGGGAGGTTGGGAGAACACGAGATAAGCGTAGGAAACCACGACGCGAAGCGGAGTAGTTTCCAGCTCAGCTAGTATATTTCGATAGCTGCCGTGGGATATTTCCAAATTCATGCTGCCGATAAAGGCAAGAGAAGAAAACTAGATAGAAGTCGGAAACGCCAAGGTGAGATTTTAGTTGTGGTATATGAGAATAATCTCGCCCTCCCGATAACTCAGCGACACAAACGTAGGTACAATTACAGATGTCCGCTAATGTACATAAATTTTCTTGTTTAGCAAAATCCTTCTTTGAATGAACTCAAAAGCAGGCGAATTTTGTCAGCTTACAATATCAGCGCGGCTTTTAACTTTCTTTAGCAATGTAATTTTACTCAGACAGGAGCTCCTGACTCAGAATGTTTTATTTGTCGGCGAAGAGCCTGTCAAAATTCGCAGACGGCGGAGATGTGAAATTGGCTTCGTTAGGTTTACTCAGATCCACAATGCCACATTGAATTTAAACGGGCATAAATCTGGTCGATGAATTTACTGCAAAGAAAACTGAGTTAACATGTCCATGGTTATACAGACGATAGGTTATCACTTTACAGAGTAAAGGTCTTATTTAAATGTAGTTATATTCCATGTCAGCAGTCGTAACGCTGTAAACCACATCCAAATTTCCTCATCATAAATGGTTAGTTTGATTGTTTGTCCATATTCTACGGTTTACTGTGTCTAACGTCAGTCAGCTGAAGATATTTGGAATAACTCACGCGGTCTGGAGAAGTTAACTCCAGGTGAAGTTATAAACTCATGATCTATTTGAGCTTTACATGAAAAGACAGCAAATGGTATTGAAGCTGATGATTTTCGCTGTGTCTGTTCTCTACTTTGGCTTTCATTTAGTGACTCCCAAAATTATTTGTAACTCGTGCATGTTTTGTAGGTGACTAGAAGTGAGGATTTGACGATTTTTAATGGTAAAAAGGTTGCTTTTAAAGACTAGAAAAATCGGTCCAAGGTTTATCTCACAAAAACAAAATGGCTGACCTCGTTTCAATCGTTGTGAATCTCTAAAAAACACCAAACTAAACTGACAAAGGAACACGAGACCAAAATAAAGCTGGGAAAGATATTCTTTGAGATAAATCCCAGACATGATTATGCTCTGTCAATGTAAATGTTTTTCCATTTAAAAGATTGTTTTATGTAAAGCAATAGTGTACTTCGGGCTTGGGCTACAACAGGGTCACTGTGTGTCTGATAGTTTTGTGAATGGTTATCTTTTGCATTAGTCGCTATAACGTAGTAGATGAAGCTTATTGAAGAGTCCCTGGTAGTGAGGCTATCTTTTGTT